GCAATGCATACAATATTTCAGTGCTTAGCTCAAGCTTAACACATTTGATGAATGTACTAGATATGAAATGGTACATTCTGTAGCTTATCACAGAATTGCTAAAGGTGTAGAGTTTGCAGATGGTTGAGGGCAGATACTTTTGAGATGGAAGTTTTTCTCATTTAGTTTGCAGGGAAAGAGATGAGAAAGATTGTAGATGTCTACTTTTTAGAGCATGAGACTTTAATTGGCAAACTCTAACCTCGTCTAATTCTCTTTCAGCAATAATTCTCCATTGTGATGGACCATTTCTAACATATACTATATATCAATTGGAACATAATAGAGTTTCATTTTTGTTTCGCAAATCATATATGGACTTAAAATATATATAATCCAATAATCCAAAGAGGATTTTATGATTGGTTTTACATCTTGTTAAACAAGGGAGAGAAAAAGTGATAATTTAAAGAGACCATGAATATGCCAGTTTGATGTAGTGGTTAAAGCACCAGCCTAAAACTGAGACCATGAGTTCAAGTTCTGCCTTAGACATGAGGCCACCTTAGTGACTTTGGGCCAATCTTTCTCTTTCAGCCCCAGGAAGCAGGCAAGAGGAAAACCCGTGAAATATTCAAAGAAAACTGCAGGGATTGGTCCAAGCAGTTGACAGGAGTCAATACTGACATGAAGGCACAATAAATAATTATTTCCCATCACACTTGGCCAGATCAAACTTAGTGTTGATCTTTTGCTGATTCTTCCCCGATACACAAAATGTGGTCCCATTCTGAGGTTTTGAGAAATTATCCCACTAGTGAACGTTCATTAAAAATATAAAACATACATTTACAAATATAAATAATTAGTAAAAATAACTTTAATTAGTTAACATCAGTTGGCAGCAGTTATAATAGTAACATTTTAGGGGCAAGGGGCTTTGAGACTGTGTTGACTCCTAGCAACTGCCTCATTGAGTCCCTGCTGTTTTCTTGGCAATGGTTTTAGATTTTAGATCTTCTTTCTAGGCTAAGAGGGAGGGACCCTCAAAGTCAGTTCATCTGGTTTTCTGACTAAGGTGGAACTAGAACTCCTGATCTCCCAGTCTTTAGCCTGGTACCTTAAGCTAAGCAGGGCCAGCTGTGGCCAATTCTTGAAGACAAACCATCAGGTAATTTTATTGTAGGTTAGCCTAGATTGTAGAAAAAAAACCCACACATGATCGTTCATGAAAACTACAAAATGGGATGTTCTTGTCTTTAGTTGAGTTTTAACTGCAGGTTATCCAGAGAGGGACAAGAAAGTGAGATGTCAGAGAATAATTGGAACCTAGCAATACAATTATAATTGGAACCTAGCAATACAAATATATATATATATATATATATATATATATATATATATATATATATATATATATATATATATATGTGTTTTCTGAGGTTTTCGTGGGTATTTGTATATAGGTCTTTGGTTGTTCGGGTTTTCTCCCGCGTAAAATTGGAAGTGTCTTGGCAACGTTTCGACGAAGTCACATTCGTCATCTTCAGGCTGGTGTTTTTCAGCTTCTTGCTTTGAGCAGCAATGTGTGGTTTTAGCTGTTTCTTCCTTTTAACTGCCAGTGAGGGTATGAACTGATTGGGTGGGAGCTTGGCTGTGTTCTGATTGGGTGGAGGTGTGTTCTGAATGGTTAGGGGCTTGGCTGTGCTCTGATTGGCTGGGGGAGTGTTCTGTTTGGTTGTGCTCAGGTTAGTCTGAGTTGCAGAGGGGTTTAAGATTTTGGGTTAGGGAGTCGTTTGTCAATAAGGGCAGGTTTCCAAATGGCTGGTAGGCGGGAGGTATCATCTCGCTTGTTCATGCTGTGTGGGCGTTTTTCTATCTCGATGGCTTCTCTGATTATTCTGTTATTAAAATGTTCACTTTTGGCAATGGTTCTGGTATTTTTAAAGTCATTAATGTAGGTCTTTGGTTTTTCGGGTTTTTCTCCCGCGTAAAATTGAAGTGTCTTGGCACGTTTCGACGAAGTCTCATTCGTCATCTTCAGGCTGGTGCTTTCAGCTTCGTGCTTTGAGCAGCAATGTGTGGTCTTAGCTGTTTCTTCCTTTTAACTGCCACTGGGGGTATGAACTGATTGGGTGGGAGCTTGGCTGTGTTCTGATTGGGTGGAGATGTGTTCTGAATGGTTAGGGGCTTGGCTGTGCTCTGATTGGCTGGGGGAGTGTTCTGTTTGGTTGTGCTCAGGTTAGTCTGAGTTGCAGAGGAGTTTAAGATTTTGGGCTGCCTTGCTATTTTTTGGCTTCTCGTTCCTGGTTGTGTCTCCTCTTCATGGAGGGTGTCAGTTTGCTTCATGTATGGATTGGAGGGGTTTAAAGTGGCTAATGATGCAGCTGTGGTCTGGCTTCTGGTTTGTGGTCGTGCCTCGACATCGGTGTGGCTTTGGGTTTGTTTTTTGCGTGGATGTGTGGTGGTGACCTCCTGTGTGGTTTTTGTGAGTGTGGGTCTGGTATCATTTTTTGTGTTAGGGAGTTGTTTGTCAATAAGGGCGGGTTTCCAAATGGCTGGTAGGCGGGAGGTATCATCTCGCTTGTTCATGCTGTATGGGCGTTTTTCTATCTCAATGGCTTCTCTGATTATTCTGTTATTAAAATGTTCACTTTTGGCAATGGTTCTGGTATTTTTAAAGTCAATTTCATGTCCTGTGGCTTTAAGATGTTGGACCAGGGAAGATGTTGGTTCCTCTTTTTTGACTGAGTTCTTATGTTCTTCAATGCGTGCACTTATTCTTCTGTTGGTTTGTCCGATGTATGTGGTGGGACAAGTGGTATATATATATATATATATATATATATATATATATATATATATATATATATATATATATATATATATATATATATATATATATTCAGAATTGCCCATTACATTTAGAAATTTGATTGCATAAATAAGTTAATTTTATCTAATTCTCAAAATTACAAAGTTCCGTGTCAGGTAATATACAGTTCTTTGAGATGTTAAACAATATTTTCTTGTCAATATTACTTTTGAGGGTTATTAAGAAATTAATTAGAGACTTTTATTTCTGTATTTATAATGTACAGTCTCCATTCTACAAACTCTAATTTCCTGAATTCAGTAAAGGTCCTTTAACTGTCATTGGAAAAAAAATATTCATTACATACCATCTCCTCCAATTTAAAATTCCCCAACCTGCAAGGCTCTCTCTCGTTCAGGCCTACTGATGGACTGAATGTGCCAATGCAGGTAAAGAGCACCAGATTAGGAAAGGTTATTATAGTCTGTATCTCATAATCAATTGAATGCAACGAAAAGCTTCCTAAAAGTTATGTAAATGTTTGGATTATGTCCAGTTTCAAATTTAGATCTTGTAATTCTACTGATTTTGGTAGATCAATAAAACCTGATCTTTAGTTTTGCTTGCTTTGAAATCAGACAGTTCTAGACTTGGTTTGAACAGAGCTTTTGATAATGCCATACGTTCTTATATTTTCTCTGCATCTTTACTTTGGGCAGAGGAAATTTTGTCCCCTGCACACAGCTTTCTTCTGTGCAGAGTATCTTTTGGAATAACAGATTTAGAATAACTGTAAAGTTCTTTCATAGATAGACTCTGTCATTGTCAAAGTCGATTCCAGACTGCTGTGCTTATTCCTGAGAGTAATCAATAAATCATGTCATCACCTTCACCTCTCTCAAAGTGGTGAAAGAAAAAGCACTTCATCATCAAGGAAAAAGCATCCCTACTGTTACAAATGAAAGGAAAAATGCAGCAATCAATCCTCTAATCTGAAGCCTTAAAATTTAAACATCTTAACAAGATGTAAAGTCATGACTCAGGAGGGGAGTGTAATGCATTCCAATACATTTGGTTCCATGATAGATAAAAGGACTCCATGCACTTGCAAGTTATTACATTACAATGTGCTGCTTACATTGGTCGTACTGTGCTTCCTGAGGAAATTTAGCAGAAATTGAATTTTGAAATCAGGAGAAAGGAACTTGAATTTTCTCTTAAATTTTGTGGTATAGATCTAGACTTTGTCACTCTTGAATCCAAAATAGAATTGAGATATATGTCTTAACCATATAGAAATTTCAGAAAGCATTTTTTTTTTTAAAAAAAAAAAGCTAATTAAAGTATTTAGAATATAATTTGCTTGTTGTCAAAAGTCTTTAGTTTGTTATGATTCTTTCGCATTCTGTTTGAAAGGACTTTCAGACATTGCGCTTTGCAGCGTTTCTCCAATATGACTGAAATGGCAACAATGAAATCTAGGAAAGATTTCTGAATAAAGGTGAACTTAACTTTGGTAGTTATTTTAAGCAATAACTGTTTAAATCTGAGAAATTCAACAATTTTGTATAGATGTTCTGATGAAATTATATATTCCTATTTCCTATTAAGCAGTAGATTGGGACTCGGGGTGCATTACAGCTTAAAACGTTTGTTGCTTGAGGTAAAAAGGCATGTTCTCATGTTGTGGGAGCAAAAATCAAGAAATTTCAGTAGCCACTATATGTCTGGGTAGCAGGTTAACGGTTGGAAGACGAGACAGAATGCATAAATATAGTTCTGTTGCCAAAAAAATCATTAAGCTCTGGTGGCTCTGAAAATAGTCCCTTGCTCTGAAATTGCCAACTTATTCTACTTAATGCTATGACCTGTCCAATTGACACTTTTTTCTAAAGAAGGGAACTCTCTTGTTTTTTTTTTTCTTTTCAGAAGAAGAAAAATTGATGGGTGAATGATAGATATCCTTTATTTTTAAGAGTTGCAGAAAAGTAACTTCTTGCTTTTTTCAGTCTTATAAAATGCACATACTAGTAAAGAAGCCTCATTCTAAATCTGAAAAGTTTGAATACTATTTCAATACATGTAATGATTGTGATGAAATTTAATTATACTTTTGGAACCCAGAATATTCCATTTCAGTTTGACCAGAAGTTAAGAATGTTTTTCTTATTCACAGCCTAAAATAAAGGCTCTTTCCCTTACCTAGGTGTTGACTTTTCGAGAAGAACAAGAACTCATTTGCTTGATGAAAAGACTGGCTGTGTATCTGCTGCTGTATCTGACGAGTCTGTGGCTGGAGACAGTGGTGTATATGAAGCTTCTGTACAACAGTAGGTTTAAAGCCAGAAATATTTCTGTTTGTCAGAAAACAAAATTAACATTACATTCAAACATTTGGCTTTGTACTCATCAGCAATTTCAGAACAAACCAAACAGATAGGGCAAGGAATAATAATGATTCAGAAAAATTAACAATCAGGAGAATAAAGAATCAGTGGAACAGAATAAACATTCTCCTAGGTAAAAATGATGCCTTAAAAAAATCTGTATAAATATGTATTAATACAAACACTGAAAAACATTCTCCATATACCTAATTTAAATTTTAAAATAGTACAATTAAAGCATTCAAGAATTGACCAGTCCTCATTTTGGAACATTCTAATATGTTTATAAAATAATTAAATATTCAGATAATGTTTAACAAGACTTAATTATGCAGGCATTTAAAATGAAGAATACATATTTCCTTTAATTTATTAAAAGACAATAAAATTTAAATAATGCACAATAATTTTATTTTATTTTATTTTATTTAGAAATATTTGCTGCCCATCTTGTATTCAGCTTACAGCATAAAACATTTAAAGAAGAAAAGAAATTAAAATCAATAGTCATGGCACACAGCAGATAAAATCATTCACAATTACAAACTGTTAAAACCAGATGGGAAAGGTGGGAGCAGGACACACGGGGTGGAAAGATGGGATTAGGTTTTAATTAATCAACCACCTCCAGTGTAAAGGTCCCCCGTTGGTCCCAAGCCATCTGGCAGAGCCAGGACTTGAGGCTCTTTCAAAATTACCGGAGGGTGGGAGTCAATCTCATCTCAGGGGATAGGATGTTCCAGAGGGCAGGAGCCCCAGCAGAGAAGACTCTCCTCCTGGAGTCCACCAGCTGAAATTCCTTGGCTGACAGGATCTGCAGCATACCCCCTGTACCAGCGTGGGTGGTGTGGGCCAATCCCATCAGGATGAGACAGTTCCTCAAGTAAGATTAATGAACATAACAAAAGTAATTCATTAAGCAAAGAAATAGAAAACAGAAAAGTTACAATATTATTTATTGACCTAAAAATTCCAATTTAATATTATATCCCAGTATAGTAATTTCAAATATATGAGATCATGTCTGTACAAACTATTACATTTTGTTTTCAAATATCTTTTTTTTCAAATTCCATTTGTTTGTACTCAAAGTATATAAACTAACTTCATTTTATAATATGTAGATCATGTAAATTATTATGATCTTAAAGGATGAGACCTTCAAATAAATTGCTGTTAGTGAGATAATCTTTAGCATTGTTTCCTTAATATCACACTTCAACAGCTTCAGTATTCATGAAGAAAATTCCCTACACAAATTTATTTCTCTGTAGTAAAAATAAATTAGTGTTTAAAAATTAAAATGTTGACCAGCATTTACCAACTGTGTGCTCAAGTATGTTTGACCTCGATACCCAGTCAGCAAAAGTATTTCTGTAATTGCCATTGATCTATCTTAAACTCTGTTCTCTAGACCCAATAACAATGAAGAAGTCGCATATACTGAAAATGATACTACAATGCTGGAAACTGCCCAAGTACAAATAGGGCTCCGGTGAGTTAGTACATATATTAAGATAGTTTCTACTGACCATTGTAAATATGTGATATCTAATGCAGGGTTTTTCCTCTCATCTTCTTAACAGATATGATACAAAGAGCTCAGGTTTTGTGATCGTTATAATGCAGTTACAAAATCTTCAAGCTCTTTCAATATACCCTGGTAATAAAATGTAAGTAAAATGCTTTTTTGACAATGGTACTTTTGAAGTCTAGGAATTCATTATTAAGCATTTATCTTTCAGGAAATCAAAGTGCATTTATGACACTCAGGTTGCAGGGAACATAGATATGTCAGCCTGAATCTTCTTCCATCTCTTAAGTGCTGCATGTGTTGGCTGCTAGAATGGGTATCCACCCACCCACCTTCATCTGGATTACCAATGTTTTCATGAGCCTATTAGACATCTACTAGCTAATTGGAGCACAGGATATGATTCTTTCTTAGCTAAGACAGGAATGTCTCCTTTACATTTTTTATTTTATTCAGAAGACTAAAATACAAAATACAAAAGAAAAAAATAAACAGACAAAACAAAACTTGAAAAAAACATTTAGAAAATGTAAAAAAAACAAAAGACAAAAAGACATATTTCTCCCTTGTTGAACACTGACAAATTATTACAACAATAATAGCTTCCTCCCGCCCTTGTAAAACACATCCAAAATTTATAAGCATCTGCATCTATTTGCAACCCAACTGACCTGCCATACAGTTAACAAGTTAAACAGAAGTGAAGTTAAAGTTTAAAGCACTCTGTCTGTTATTGTAATTTACTCATAGAAAGTCTGCACAGTTTCTTATTTACCACAAATAACCCGATCATTATGTCTGATCAGTCCAGAATCAAATACCCTTGTTTGGTTCTTAAAACCTTTCCTTAGGTTTTTAATTGGGAACTTTCCTCACAATTTGCATCTCATTTCCAAAATTCATATGTTTTTGTTGTCAATATCTCTGCAACATCCATTGTTGAATAATTCTTCTTGACAGGAATGAAAAGGATGGAAATTTGCAACCTTAACATGTTGTTTCTTTTCATATTTCTGGAGTTTTTCCACAATAGTTTTCTTGAAGTCTTTCTTTGCTTTTGTGATTTATTCTGTAAAGCAGGGGTCCCCATCCCTTGGGCTTCAGACTTATATCAGTCTGTGACCTGTAAGGAACTGGGCCACACAAGCAGTGGGCAGGCAAGTGGTTTATCTCTGCATGTGCAGGATCTAGGTTGTGTGTGAAACCATCTACTCCCCCCAATCTGTGGAAAAATTGTTTTCCACAAAACTGGCCTCTGGTGCCAGAAAGGTTGGGGACCGCTGCTGTAAAGGATGACTGCAGATTACTGAACCATATGAAAATATATGTAGTTTCTGAGTGGAAAGAAACAACCAATTTAAAATTACATTCTCCTTTTCTCTGTAAAACCTCTTTCTTATTCTTCCATTCTTTTCTCAAGAATTAACACTCTTTCCCTTAGTCCAGAAAAATACAGGTAGTCCTTGACTTATGACTGGTTGCTTAATGACCATTCACATTTAAGATAGGCACAGAACAAGTGTTTTGTTGCTGTAAAGCAACTTCCAGACATTATAAATGGTCGCAGTCTCCCCTCCCTATGATCATGTGCTCACATATTGGACACTTGGCAAAGACCTATTGTGGCATTCTGCGGTCACATGACATAATTTGCTATGATTTTTGCAGGTTTCTATCATTTCCACCATTCAAATGAATGGATTCACTTAAAGACAGCCATGTTCACCTACCTACTATGAGGAAAAATATCATAAAACTGGTCACTTGGGTGCTTCAACTTCTGAGTGTAATGACTTATGATCAGATTTCCAGTCCTAATTGCAGCCATAAATTGAGGATTACCAGTTCCATTTCCTTATTTCCTCAAACAAATAACCTTCTCTTCCACACATAGAATTCACCTTGTCTGCTGTGATACAAAGGTTTTTAAGTTTTGGGAATTTGTACAGTATATTCCATGTCTCTCCACAGCAACTGTCAAAAGGCAGGTAGGAAGGTGTGTCTGAATCTAGCTAAATTAAAACAGATGGGTAAAACACATCAGCTTTTTAATCTTTTATAATCATTAAGTCAGGAGCATTTAGACTTTTTAACTTTTAATAGACTCCAAGAAATACTATTTAAATAAAATCCATTTGATAGTGAGCAGAAAATGAGCAACAGTACTTCTCTAGAAAGAGCTATTCTTAAAGTGAACAAATTTTTGTGTTGGGTTTGAGATTTGTATGCTACCTGGAGACATTTTTAAGCATTCATTGTCTGAATGTCTGAGTTGTATTTGCATTTCAAAGAAAATACAGTTTCATTTTCTCATTTGAAGAGCAAAGCATGAAATTCTGCTTTTACTGGGAGCACTTATTTCAGTCTAGATGGTTTAATCTCTACAAATATTGATATATTGTGAGAGCTACTATTTACACAGTAATATAATACAGATCTGCTCCCCAACTTCATTTCACATTGGAAAATGTTGCATGAGCCTGAAAAGAGATTTTGTTTTTTCATTCCCTCTTTTGTTTTCAACAATACATGAAAAGTACTCCCTTAGATGAGGTAGCTAAGGTGAATTTCCTATTTCTTTCCCACAGTTCTTACCAAATATGCAGGTCGATACTGAAACCAAAATCCCTACTCCAAATTAACATGGTCTCCTTAACCTGTTCTTCATACATTGTCTGATCTAAAAGAAAATGATATATATTTTTAATCATTTTATACCTCATATAAGGAAAACCTTTACAAGATGTTTTATAGATGGCATTTCCCACCCATAAGGCTAGCCAAAATGGGTTCAAACATCTCACCCCTATGCTGGAAATGTAAAACAGCAATAGGATCATATTACCATACGTGGTGGGAATGCCCAAAGATCCGTGAGTATTGGAACAGGACACGAAACTGATTGAGGGATATATTAACACTGGACTTAGAGTTAAAACCTGAACTCTTCTTGTTGGGAATAACGACAGAAAAATACGACAAAGGAACAATCTACCTGCTGCTACACATCCGGACTGCAGCTAGGCTTGCTTTTGCGCAAAAATGGAAGAGCAAGGAAATTCCCACAGAGGAAGATAAAATACTAGCATGTGTGGAAATGGACAGACTCACAATGATATTAAAAGAAAAATGTGGATCTGTTTATTATGAAACCTGGGATAAATTTTACCACTGAAGGAATTCGAAGAGGACGATTGGGATTAAAAATGAATGTTAAGATAGATAAGTACTTATGTGATTTTAGAATAACATAATACTTAGATGTATATGTAGAGATGAAGAATTGATTGTAAAAAGTGGAATAATCTGATAAGAATGTATATACTGGAATGTCACGTTAAATCCAATGTTTGTTTTTTTAACTGTATTATAAATAAAATTTGTAAAAAAGAAAAATACTCCCATATTTCAAAATTGTAATGTGGAAAAAAGCCATACCATGATTTGATGTTGACATAGCATACATCTGTCATTATGACAATAATTGGAAATAAAACTGTGTGTTGTCTCTCATAAAATAGACATGAATCAAACTACTCCAGGCAGATAGTTGCCTATTCTCTAAGAACATCCAATGAAGGGAAGCTAACCAATTCTATGAGAAACCTACTAAAGATGTTTATCTTACTTGTTAGAAGGTTTTTCTAACATTTAGTCAGAATGTGCCTTCATGTAATAATGTGTTTATTATTCTGAATCCTACATCCTTTCAGCTGTCTTTTCTCAAGTTCATTCCAACTCTCTTGATACAACTTAGTTTCTAGTCCCAAAATCATTATCTTCTCTGAACTGGTTCTAATTGTTTTGAATATTTATTCAAGTGTGATCCCTAAAACTCAGCACAAAATAAGGAAACTAACTAATACAGAACAGAATGGAATTATTACTTCTCATGCTTTGGAAATTACAAGTGGCATGTTGGCCTAGTGGTGAAGACACTTGCCACCCACATGGAAGTTTGAGAGTTCAATCCTAGGTAGCAGCAGATTTTTTGCTTCTAGGACACAAAGAAAAAATACCTGTTGTAAATTCTGTGTGGTGTCAGGAAGGGCATCTGACCAGTAAATGCTCAGCTTCATCCAGTCACCCCGCCTCTACCCCAAATTAAGGAATTACAGGGTTGTAAAAAGGGAGTGGTTTTTTTATGTTTTGGAAATTACATTTCTACTGACACAGCCTGAAATTGTATTTGTGTTTTTTGCAGCTATGTCACACTGCTGGATCATCTTCAGTTTGCAGTCAACTTTTTCAGAAGTTCTGTTACTATCCTATAAACTCTCTATTTAAATTTTGCTTTCTAATTCTATTAAAACATAGATATTTTTTATTCATTCATTCATTCATTCATTCAGTGATAAGCAATGATCATTTATTCAATGATCAGCAACATAAAATAAAAAAGATAAAAGACAACAATTACAATCAGGATTGACAGGGAAAATTGGGTGTAATTATATATCAGCAACTATAAAATAAGTCAAATATGGTATATTCTGAACATCCATATTACAATAATAATGTACGTATTTGCCTAATACTAATAAATCTAATCTAATAAAACTATGCATTAAAATATACGTCCTTTAAAATTATTTAAAAAATAATAACTAAGCAAAATATTGATAATAATAAATATCTTTAGTTCTTTAACTGGTTTTGCCTTATTATCGTTACACCAGCACAGAATTTGGCTATTGCATGAATAGTGGCTAGATTTTGGTCCTGGAGAAGATGGTTCTCATAGAAATTATCTTCTCTTCCTAGAATTCTCTCTAATAGAGGGAGTATGTACATTGATCTGATGTTCCTGTAGAACTCAGAGCACAATAAGACATGTGAGATGTCTTCAACTTTTCCATTGTCACACATACACATTCATGTGCTATTGAGGTTTTATCATACCTGCCCTGTAGGAGTGCTGAGAGGAGAAAACATAGATAAAGTTCCTTCACTCCCTCAGTATTACAGAATGCAATCTTGTGCTTCCAGCAGAGACGTTCAGTTGACACAGAATACTGTTGTAACAATTCTTTGCAGTATTGTTTATCCTGAGCAGTACTAGCAGGAAATATTCATTGTTAGTAGATTTGATAAGTCTTGGAAATTGTTTGGTCATGTTCCTGACCCTGGCTTCTGTAGCGGTGTCATTAAGTACTGTGACTCTTCTGGAGATTTATCCACCAACCCCCAGAGAATGTGCTTTCCTACTGATTTCCGGTTTTTCATTGCGGCCGCTGGAAGGCAACCTCTGTCTTCCGCGTTCGGTTTTGCTCCACTGGGGGACCTTGGAAAGGGTCGAAAGTCACCCTATAGGGGTGACGAGCAAGGAGGGGACCCTGCTTGACCACAGAAGGGCAGCAGCTTTTCCGCTCAATCTGGGGCAGCCCTCCAAACTGGCGGAGGAAAGACTGGCCATAGTAATATGGCCTGTCACTAGGCTGCAGACAGACGAAGTCAAACTTACCACCAAGCACTTCGAAAGCAACACAGATGAAACTGAATGAGATCCAATCTTCTCTTTACCCTTAGTACTTTCTTTTCCTGTAAAAGCTGCCTGAAGTATGTTTCCCCCTGTGAGGAGAGAGGAAAGGGAATTTCTATCCTACCTCTAAGAATAGCGGCGACTGACTGCCCAGGAGAATTAAAGCATTAAAAGAACATCTTTAATCTAATTGGATTTATATGTTCCTGGGTACCAAAAAATTTCCTATTTTTATTGGAGACTTTTGCTTTTATCTACAAAAAAGAAATAAAATTGGAAAAAGGATTATAAAAATTTTGGACTTAAAGGGCATTGGTGACATCTTGTGGTGAAGTTTGGTATTATAACTTATTTCCTAAAAGATATGGCTCAAAGCCCAAATCTTAAATAAGACTCTTTTGACCTTGGCTTGGCATCACCTGTGAGAAACTCAGCTGTAAGAGAACAGCTGGGTGGCATAACTGGCCTGCTTGAACTGTGAATGTAAACCTTTACTGACTTTCAGAGTTATATGTGGGGAATTGCCTTTCTTGCTCTTTATTTGAGGAATATTGGTTACTATATGAGATAATGAAATTCCTTGGACTATAAAATCTTGCTTGACAAACGATCTCTACTATAAAGACTATTTATAAACACGTGAAAGAGATGGATGGAGACCAGGAAAATATCCTTTCCATGTTGAAAGCAATACACGAAACCATTCTTTCAGCTTGTGATAAAATAAGACCTAACATAAAAGATCAGCTTAGATACACAAACCCAAACTTTAACTACAACCAAAGAACTAACAATGCAGAAGATAACAGAAAAAGTGGAACAATCAAATATTAAGATAGAGGACTCAATTGACCAACAAATATAGTTAATGGAAAATCCAGCAAAGGGAGTGACAACATTGAAAATGGAAAAGACTTTCTATATAAATCAGAAGAAATTTGAGAAAGAAGAAGAACAGATTGAATGGAAGATAAACATATTAGGGCAATCATGAGGAATTAGAATAATAGGGAGACAACTTAATGAATACAAATGAGCTAGTCCTTCCCAAAAAAAAAGGCAATTAAATGGTCTCCTTTATTTCAAATAACATATATAATAATAGACTGAGATCTATCTGATCATCTAAAAGCACTGATATGGAAGCCTAGTTGGCAAAGGAAGAAAGCCAGAATAAGGCTGAAGAAAATTGCGGTTTTGATTTATTAGAGGGGATTTCATATTATTAATTAGAGGGTTAAAGGGAGAAGTTGAGATAAGGGAAATTCTGGTCATTAGATTTAAAATATTTGGAAATTAGTTAAAAAAGGAATTTTATCTGTTTAATATTTAAAAATTAGACGTAAAAGAAAAAAAATCAATTATTATGAATATGTTTGATGTATTGATTAACCCAGGTAATATATATAATGGTTTTGATTTATTAAAGGGGATATTGTATTATTAAGTAGATGATTTAATATGGTGGGAAATAGATAACTTTTAGGAAATAGAACAAGATTATATTCAAATAGATAAAATGTGTATTTTGGATATTAGATTCTGTTATGAATTGAGATAAGGGAGATAAGGGTAGAGTTGCTACTCTCACACAAGCATTGCTGCTATTGCTGTTGACTATGGCAGCAGTGCTCTCATTTTCAATGACTAGAGCATTGTGGAAATGAGTCAGGAACTTTTCCTTCCCTTCTAATTTAGTGGGACAATTTATTAGGAACTGAACTCCTTCTAAACTTCCCAGCATGCTAAGTCTCCTGTTTGCTTACTTAGTGAGCTCACTCCCTTAAACCAGGCTGCTTTATATTCATCTTACAGATTCTGCTTGTTCTGTAAGAAGCACTTGTATCTGTCAGGACCCACACGTTGCAATCAGCATTTGTGAATGTAAAATAAATAGAAATTCAAACTTAGTGTATCTGTGGAGGAAGGAAGAAGCTTATATTTCCAGCCTGATGTCCCCCATTTTCTTCTCATCCTTAAAAGGGAAAAAATATTTTACATCTTTTCTAAATATGTATATTGCATAACATAATATGGAAAAACACTTTATGATGAATTTAGGTTATCTTTCTGTTATTTTTCTTCTTTAGATATTTTAGACTTGCACTTCTTCCACCTTCAACTGACATCAGCTGTCTATTCCGTACAAAGTTCCATCCTGCTACTGAACCTCTTTTATTTAGTGAAATGTTCAGAACAGTTATTTCCCAGGCAGCCTTGCAGAAAAAAACTTTGAGGGTAGATATCTGCTCTGTCAGTAAAAGTCACCAAGAAGAATGTCTAGTAAGTATCCTTACTTAATATGATAATTGGTTTAATTGTGATCTTTTTCTCCCTTTTTGTGGATGTATAAGAATCTTTTGAGCAATGTATTAAAAATCTTTATAGGTCTGGGCATAGTCACCTTTGATCCTAAGTGATTCTTCTTGCCATTTTCATGGGGGGAAATGTAGTAGATTGGAACTATACTTCCTAAAGACTTAAATAGCAAGGACGTAGTGTAAATATTTCAGCACTTGCAGTTCCTGTTTTATTTCCTATGCTATGTTTTGCACTGTTTCTAGGCCTGCACTGTGGGCTGGTCTAGAAGCTACAACTAATCTAATATATAGCAGGTCAACTACTGATTGGAATATGGTAGATCAGGGGCCCCCAACCCCCGGTCTGTGAACTGGCACCAGTCCGCAGCATGCCAGAAACCAAGCTGTGCAAACAAGTGAAGGCAGTATGCAAACCACGCCCCCCTCTGGTCCACAGAAAAACTTCTCTCCATGGAACTAGTCCCTGGTGCCCAAAAGGCCGTGCTGTAGATACTATACTAAAACATCTGCTGTAGATACTATACTAAAACATCTGCATTACCTATCGTTCTGCTACTAAACAGATTCAAGATGGTGAAATTAGTCTTAAAAAAGGAGCATGTTATCTTAGCATCCTCTTGTATGTAATGTTCCTGGTACTTAATGTTCTTGAGGGGAGGTCCTGCATTCTCATCCATAAATCTCCTCAGCAGTCCTCTGCAGAACACCCGCTCCAATTCAGCCATGTTTTAGGTACTCCTTTAAAAATCCATTCTTCTTTTTAGGGGGGCTTTTCACCAAACACCTCCCTTTTATTAATATTTCTAGTCCTTTTAATAACTAGTCTTCTAGCACTGTTTATAGCATTAACTCTTTCTGGTATTAATGCAAATGAGAAATGGTATACAAATATTTAAATAAATAGAAATAATTGAATTTACTTTCCTTGCCCCATTTACTTGAGAGACTAAATGCTTGAATAGTTTTTCACACTCAAGATAATGAAGGAAGCACTTCAGATGCCACTGCAGAGAAAAACTGCAAGGCTTGGTTGTTATAGGTTTCATTTAAATGAGGAAAGGGAGAAGATAAATATTTTCTCTGTGGGTTTTATGATGATGCAATTTCCTGGGTTAATATTTATTGTGGTGAACCTTTTTAAAGAGCAGTCAGGACATAACAATTTGGCCAATTGAAAATCCATAAATTGCATCCATCCATAACTGTGCTTAATTTATTTGAAAGTGTTTTGCAGTGGCTTTGGTCTGTGGAAATTAAGGTTACTATTTTTGAGAAGTATTCTTTCATCCAAGTATCAGCCAGGAAATTTAACAATTTCATGCTGGGGATTTCCCATGCGAGGGCATTGAACCTAGGACCTCATTCATGCAAAGCATGTATGTGACTTCAGTGGCAAAGGTGCATCCAACGAAAATGTTCTACTTCTTCTATATAATGTTATCACAGTTAGAAGTAGACTTTTTATTTTTTCTTAATATTCTTCAAGTTATTCCTACCTATAGATTATTGTAAAATGGAAGTGTAATGATTAACAATTTCAGACATTGACAGAATGTAAATCGATGGTGCCTGAGGCATTTTTATACAGTAAAGCTATCAAAGATTCTAAATATGAGCTTAAATTTTCTTTTCTTACATATAAAGCCATTTTTTCCCTCATGAATAAGATGTTTCCCTCATGAATAAGATGGACTGAGGCCAACTGTATTTTGCTTCAGGCATTAACCTAGCCAGTGCTTTCTCCTGCTTCGATCTATTGCACTGATTAGATTTATAGAGTAACTGGTATTTTCTTTTTAGATATGTATTGTATGTCTGATCTGTAATTAATCAAATGATTTGTTTATTATTTTTGTTTAAATGTACCCCTTAAACTTCCCTTTTAATTCAGATTGAGCAACAAGTAAGAACAAAAATAAAAATTTTACCAAATAAAATCACAGGATAAATATCTATATCACAATCTTTTTTGTTTTCACCTGCAACTTCTGAGTACTCTCTTGGCACTTTAATGTTTTACATCCTTTTATCTTGCAAGCCAAGGACTCTTGTGCCCTTAATCCCTCAAGATTTATCATGAACCAGAATTACTTTAACACTTGTGCCAACTGCTCCAAGTAAATCCCATTCATCTTCCCTCTTTCTTTATCTTTATGCTTTCCCCTTCACTTTTCATTTTAAAACATGTTTCTGCAATTTCTCTCTTGAGAGATAGATGAATCCTATTCATCAGGCTTTTACAAAATGGCTACCTCACACATTGCATTATAACCATAATAGAAAAGATCACTGCATCATGTGGAAAGTCTTACCTAATACTTATAAAACTTAGTTGCATTATTATTTGACTTCAGTTGTAATATTCATCTTAAATGCTGTATTTTAATCCAAAAGATATAAATATATAATTGAAGTGTTTAATAATTCTAATATAAAAAGGCTTTGGAGAATAATTTTTGACTGCTGAAATGAACAAAACATTTCAATGACATCATTTGTTTTTACATAAATTAAAATTCTGTAACAAATATACATTATTTTGTAGGGTGGAATCCAGATAAGTCTGGGAGATGTGTCCTTTTCAAATGAGATATCTACTCTGTGGTATAATTTACTATCTTCTAAGCAGACTGTTGGAAAAAGGAATACAAAGCCAAAAAAGTATTCTGTCTTTGTGGCAGCCAATCCAACACCTGTTTCCTTGGTAAGTTGATTGCTAGAAAAAACAGTGGCACCAGTCAAATAGTTGTGCTACATTATTATGTGTAGCCTCCAGTTGCTGTCTCGTTATCATAAATAGAAGTATAATTAGGCTTCCGGTTGACTTTTTCTGCTCGCAGGAATGGTAAACAAACAATGAATTGCTAAATCTTGATTATGAGGAAAGCAATAAGCCAGAGTTCCTTGTCAGAATGTATTGCTAAAAAATAGAAGCAAATGCAGTCAAGCTTACATACAACTTTTTCATTATAAGGAACAGTGTGCTTAGCCTAACATTCAAATATTATTGAATGGAGTAGAAAGGAATCACATGTAAAATGCATATTGCCACATTAAACTTTTTTTGTCAATAAAGTAGTTTGCGCACCTGTGTAATATAATGGTTAAGGGGTTTGAGAGGACTGGAGAGACTCAGTTTCAAGTCCATTGTCAGACAACTCACTGACTAATTTTGGACCAATTTTTCTCTTAACCCAACCTGCATCATTATTCATTGTACATTGAACACCTACAAGCAAAGTTATAACTAGTAGTCAACATGGGTTCATCAAAAACAGATCATGCTAAACAAATCTTATTTCATTCTTCAACGAAGTTGTCAGTGTGTAAGAATTTATGAACTGGAATAGCCATAGCAACAAACCAGCCAGTGAGAACTGTTTTAGATTAAGACACATTATTGGCTGTGTGAGGCATGTGATCCAGCCTAGGTCTGGGCGTGGTTTAGTCTTTCCCTGTGTCCTGATCTCCTGAGTTAGTTGTTGTTCTCTGCCACATTGCCAAGAACTGAGTGAAACTGTATGTATCATGCTTATACATATTTTATAGATAAAGTTTTTCTAAATTATGTCTCCTGCTCATTTTGAATGTGTGCTTATTTTTTGGGCTTATTTTTGCACTGGAAAGCTGTAAAACTCTTAACAGGTTATGGGCCCAGATCCCAGCCATCCCTTGCACACAGTTCAGACTGAAAGAAAAGATTGAGGCTCAACATGGAGCTGTAATTAAGCTGAAGGACTGCCTGAATTAAGAAAGAAAAAGGCTGCTCAGCTGAAGCTTGCAGGATGGCTGGTTTAAAGGAGAACTCTCTGCCTCGATTGGGACAAAAGAATTATCTTATTTGGGCTGGAAAAATGGAATGCTTCCTGAAGGCTAAGGAGCTCTGGGATTATTGTGATTAATCCACCCCAGGGGCAATTAGCAGCTGCAGATCAACAGAGGCATGATAAGGCACTGGCTTACGTCATTTTAATGTGGAAGATGAACAATTCTGAAATGTAGCTGACTTAAAAACTGCAAAAGAAGTTGGGCTGAAGTTCAGAAGTGTCCATGTGAGCATGTCAGCATGCAATATAGTGCAATTATCAAGGCAATTGTACAGAGCCTGGCTGCTGCCACAAGAGAGTGTAAAAGAGCATTTGTTCCACATGCAGAAGCTGATTGTTCAATTAGAACAGTTGCAGGTACAAAAGGTTAAATGTGCCCAAACATTTGGTAATGTGGCACAATATGATTCATGCATTCATCTCTTGCACAGAAAGCTTGGCCATGCCAGTTTCAGAGTGTTGCATAGGATGCCACAGTTTGCAGAAGGATTAACTTTAAAAGGGTGTACTCTAGGGCAGGGGTAGGCAACCCAAAACACTAAAAGAGCCACTTGGACCCATTTCCCACCGAAAACAAAACACTGTGAGCCGCAAAACCCTTTTGATATCTAAAATGAAGATAACACTGCATATATCCTTTTTTACCTTTATTATACACACACACACACACACACACACATACATACATATATATATATATATGTACACCCACACATATATATACATAAACATATATACACATACATACATACACATACATACATATACATACATACACACATACATATACATACATATACATGTACATACATGTATGTACATATATACATATATATGTATATCATAAAGGTAAAAAGGTATATGCAGTACTATCTTCATTTTAGATGTCAAAAGGGTCTCTCTCTGTCTCTCCCCCCCTCTCCCTCTCTTTCTCTCTCTCTCTCTCCTTTCTTTCCTCTCCCTCTCTCTTTCTCCTCTCTCTTTCTCTTTCTCTCTCTCTCTTTCTGCCCTTGGTCTGCCAGTCCTCTTCACCCACTCTCTTTCTTTCTCTCTCTTTCTCTCCCTCCCTTTCTCTCTTTCTCCCCCCCCCTCTCTCTTTCTCTCCCCCCCTCCAATCTTCTGCTCACCTGGCAAGCTGGCTTCAAGCTGTTCTCCGACAAGCTCAGGGGTAGGCAACCTCGGCTCTTTTATGACTCATGGACTTCAACTCCCAGAATTCCTGAGTCAGTATGGCTGGGCTAGGTAGCTCTCTCCTGCCCTTCCTGCTTCCTGCAGAGCTGGCAAGCTGGCTTCAAGCTGTTCTCCGACAAGCTCAGGGGTAGGCAACCTCGGCTCTTTTATGACTCATGGACTTCAACTCCCAGAATTCCTGAGTCAGTATGGCTGGGCTAGGTAGCTCTCTCCTGCCCTTCCTGCTTCCTGCAGAGACACAGCAAAGGGAAGAGCTCCGCCCAAAAAGCTTTTCAGCTCTTGGAGAACACCGTGAGTCCACTCTCTTTTTTTTACACACACACACACAGAGAGAGAGAGAGAGAGAGAGAGAGAGAGAGAGAGAGAGAGAGAGAGAGAGAAGGGAAGCACAAGTGCCTCTTTCTGTCTCTGTAAATGGCAGAGGAGGCTGGGAACCGCAAGGGAAGGCTCAAAGAGCCACATGCAGCTCCAGAGCCGCAGGTTGCCGACCTGTGCTCTAGGGCATACTTAGACTATGCAGTATAATATGTAAATCATCGAAATCTAAGGTATTCCCAGTAAGCAAGAAGAGCACAAGGCAGACAACAAGGGTTCTAGAGCTGGTACATACAATAAGACCAATGCAAGCCAATTGTAGATAATTTCAGTAGATTTGGTTTCTGTTATTTGCTTAAGAGCAAAACAGAAGTGCTGCAGAAGTTCAAGCAATGGGTGAGCTTCGCAGAAAGACGATATAGGCAACAGGTATGCCAGCTGCAAACTGACGGGTTCAGAATTCATGTCAGCAAGTTTTCAACAGTGGTTGGGGCAGCTAGGAATAAGACATAGACGCACAAATCCATACACAGCAGCTGAGAATGGTGTGGCTGAAAGACGGAATGGAGTCTTGCAGACCATGAAAGACTCACTGCTGGAGGATTCTGGTCTGAGCAGGTCGTATTGGGGCAAAGCCATGTTGACTGCTAATTATTTGATCAATAGGCTGTGGAGTTCCTCTATAAATGATACTCCATATGCTGTGCTATATGGGAGAAAGCCATCTCTGGCACATTTAAGGGTGTTTGGAAGCAATGCATGGGTGCATATTCCAAAGGCAATCAGGAGAAAATGGCAACAAAAGGCTAGAAAGCTCAGATTTATGGGCTATGAGCCTGGCTCAAAGAGCTATTACTTTAGTGATGGGAGCAGAAGGATAGTAATTTCCAGATCTGCTAGTTTTGGAGAGCAGAATTGGGGCAGAATTGATGCCAAGTCTGGAAATGATGCACTTAGTGACGGTGACTCAGTTAGTGCCAGTGTCGGCGTTCGGGGAGGAGAAACTGAAAAAAGATAAGAAAAAGTCAGAAGAAGATGGTGACTCTGAAGTGAAGCTGAAAAGGGTTGACAGTCAAGAGCAGTCAATGCCACGCAGGTCAGAGTGATGGAACAAGGGGATTCCATTTGACAGGTATTCTGCTGGGAAAATAAAGGTGTATAATGTGTGGTATAAGCTAAGAAACTATCAGGAAGAATTGGCACTACCCAAAGTAGAGCAAGAGAAGTGGAAAAAGGCCATGGACAAAGAAATGAAATCCAAGGCAGAACATAAAGTGTTCACCTCTGTGACTGCCACAAGGCTACAAAGCTGTAGGATGTAAATGGGTATACAAAAGGAAAGTGTTACCGAACAATTAAGTCCAATATAAAGCAAGATTGGTGTCACAGGGGTTTTCACAGAAGAAAAATGTGCACTATGATGAGGTATTTGCACCAAAGGTAAAAATTGAAACATAAGGATGGAACTAGTATTGGCAACGGCACATGGGCATAAAATTTGGCACTTTGATATAACCACAGCATTTCTTTTTCTTTTTTTTAATTCATTTTTTTTATTTTTTCCAGTTATACATTGTAAAAGATACAATTTTAAAATAACATAAATTCTTAACCATTGGTACGACCTGCCCATTCCCCCCAGGCAGCGTCCACCCTCTTTTAAAACCTTCCCTACTTCCCTCCTCTTTCTCTTCTCCCCTCCTACTCTCTTCCCCTCCCCCTCTCCTCTTACTATCCTACTTCCTCTCTACACCTTCTTCTCCTCTCATACCTATCAAACCCATGAACGCTGCATAGGGGAACAACCACAGCATTTCTTAATGCAGAGTTGGAGGAAAAAAAATTACCAGGGTACGAAAATAAAAAGCCTGACACTGTATATAAACTGAACAAGGCCATTTATGGGCTGAAGCCATCAGCCAGAAACTGGAACATCTGTTTAGATGTGGCATTAAAGGGTCTTGGGTTCAAGAGTTGATGGTTGCATATATACTGCAAGGTTCCACAGTGGGGATTGCCAATTATTAGCGTTTGTGGATGATCTTTGCTTCATTGCAAAGGATCTGGCACAGGTGAAGGAAGATGAGGAACTAGAAGGGGAACTCATAAAAATTTGGAGATGAATAGCCAACACGCCAGAAGACAAGTTCAAGATCCAAAAAGATCTTGACAGACTTGAACACTGTCTGACAAAATGAAATTCAGCATAGATAAAAGTAAGGTTCTACATTTAGGCAAGAAAAACCAACTGTATAGGTATAGGATAGGTGAAACTTGGCTTAATGCCAGGAATTGTGAGAGGGATCTTGGAGTCCTAGTGGACAGTCACTTAAATATGAGCCAACACAGTGTGCAGCAGCAGTCAAAAAAGACAGAGCAATCCTATGCTGCATTAAGGATTGGACTAGAAGACCTTCAAGGTCACTTCCAACTCTATTATTCTATGTTCTATGTTTCATTGTGTGCAAACATTGGAGGAAGGAATGCTATGTATGCCACTGTGAGTTCCTAGAGGAAAGATGAAATATCAATCAATCAAATAAATCAATAAATGGAGAGTGGTGAAATATAACTGCTCTTCCTATTGTGTTTCCCCAAAAATAAGACCGGGTCTTATTTATTTATTTTTTTGCCTCCAAAAGAGGCACCAGGTCTTATTTTTGGGGATGTCTTACTCACCTCCGGCATCGACCGCCCCGTCCAGCAGGTCCACTTCTTCTGCAACTAACAGAGCACTTTCATTCTGCAGCTGCATTCCGGCTGCAATTTCGCATGCAGACCTTTCCGGAAGGCCTATGCAGCCAAGTACCGAGCTATGGATTGAATCCATAGCTCTGTACTTGGTTGCATAGGCTTTTCAGAAAGGCCTGACTGTGAAATTCCAGTCAGGCCATGCAGAATGAAGCTATGGATTGAATCTATAGCTTGGTTCTTGGCTGCACAGGTCTTCCGGAAAGACCTATGACTGAGAAACGCAGGCCTGGCTGCAGAAGACGCCACAGAAGAAGTGGGCCAGCGAGGAGAGGCCTGGTTGCAAAGTAAGTGGCACATAGGGCAGATCCACAGCTCTACCCTCGCCCTAGCTTGTGTGCCTCCCCCAAACTAGGGCTTATTTTTGGGGTAGGTCTTATATTAGGCCCATCCCTAAAGCAAGCTAGGGTTTATTTTCGGGGTAGGTCTTATTTTCAGTGAAACATGGTAAATGCTATATTTCTGCTGGCAAGCAGCTGATTATTTTTTCACAGAATGTAACATTCATAAGTATTTATGGTTTACTCTATTTTCCCCATATTAATTTTATTATACTTGAGCATCTATTCCAAACAACTAAATGTAGGTTAGTACAAGATTTCATTTACATCAGACTTCAAATCAGTGAATATATTTTCTGTTTTCTTTAAATGATAGGGAGTGAAAATAAAATACTGTTTTAAAGAATGTACATGCAAAATCTAGGGCATAAGAATCTCATAATATAGACAATGCCCATTTAAACTGGAAGATCAATTGCAATATCTGGAATAATGATTTGTAAATGTTGGAAACCTACATAATTTGTTGCTTTTGCCCACAAATTGTGAATTAGAACTTAGTTTTTACTGATCTGTATGTCAGAGTATATTTTCGTTGTCTTGCCTATGTCATTTTTGGAAAGAATTTTATTTATAGGCTATGATTTTCACAATATATGTAATCAGTTCTCAGATGATGTCATGCAGCAATTCAAGGTTTAAATCAGTCTTGAGTCTTTCATGATGTAATTCTACTCTCTGTAGGTACATGTGTGCTTGTTCAATTTAATCTGAAAGGCTTCAGCAGCTTTATGATTTTTCTGGGCTCAGTCCATGTACATTACAGACCAGGTGTATTACTGGCATTACTTCTTACATATTTTAGTACAAGTAGAGCTGCTTTCCATGTCTTTGTTAGGATGCGGTCTCAGCATTGTTGGAAAGGACAACAGCTGAGCTGCAAGCTGTGGAACAAGAATTGGCAGAAAAGGAAGAGGAAAGGGAGGAGGAGGAGGAAGATGAGGAAGCACAGGAAACCCAGGAAACACAAAGTTTGGAGGAAGACTGGTAAGCTGAACTCTTTTTATTTATTGGTTATTCACAAAATAGCATTTAAAAATACGAAGCATAAAAAAACAAAATACAGAAAATGTTGCTTGCCCCCTGCAGTAGGTAAGTAAGAAAGATAGAAAGAAAACCTATTATTCCTTAGGCCAGTGATGGCAAACCTTTTAGAGACTGAGTGTGCCATAGGTTCACCACCACTGCTTTAGGCAATTTAGGGAGGATTTTTATTATTATTATTATTATTTTCTGTTTTGCTCAGTGACAGAAACACAATACAAATATTATAGGGAGAGCAACAAGGAAAATAATGAATAATATTAGTTTCAATGCAGCTTGGAGAATGGAGCCATGCTGTTGTCCCCAATCCAATGTTTGGGTTCTGTGTTCATAATCATTCTTCTTAAACAGGAGCCCAGCAAGTAAGGAGAGCACGGATCTAGCTAGCAAAATATGGACCATATGAAAGAAGTATGAACTGGGGGTGTTTCCTCCCTATATTTTGCTTTTGCTTTTGCTATTATGAGAGCAGTCTTCCTTTATTTTTGATCAGAACAAAGATTCATATAGCAGCTTACTGCTGGTAAGTTTAAGCTGGACATGAAGGCAGTAAACTTTTCTTGCATCTTCTCTTCTAAGAAATGCTTATTATGCTTATAATGTGAATCACTTGTTTCTAAGCAACTTTTGTTAAGCACAATTTAGACTGTGGAGAATGGGACCTCCCTCGGCCGAGCATCACGGGCACTCGGCCTCACTCATGCGAGCGTTACGAGTGCAAGCAAGCACTTGGGGCCTCACTTGCACCCTCATCTACGCAAGTTCTTGGCCCCACTCACACAAGGAACGTGTGCATGCACACACCTTCCCCTCTCACAAAACCATGCCTTTCCCCCCTCCCCCCGCCCCACCATCTGGAATGATTGGGGAACTCTGTTCTAGTTGATTCAATGTTTTGGTCCTTCCTTTTACTGTAAAGTTGTTTGAAAGATGACTTGTTGGGCTATAATTAGACTTTCTATCCATTCAGGATATTGTTGTTATTTTATTTATTTTCAATATCCATGAAATATCAGCTAAATGGTTATGCAGAGGAAAAAACTTACAGTGCTATATCTATCTCCAGAAATAACCTTGAACATCAGATTTACATTGAATTTTATGATGTTCTAACACAGTAAATTTATAACAGATCCTTCTGCTTTTTCCAAAGAACAGAATACTAAAACCATAGAAATGTTTCAGTAGAAGTTTATCTGTGGCCAAAATAAATTGTTGATAATGTCACATTAATTGTATGTCTATTAGTGATGAAGATTTTGGATTCTTCCCACATTAGGTTCCAAATATGCTGGTATTTTATTTTCCAAATACCTTAGTAAATTAAGGGTAAATTTGTTCTCACAGGATAGGAATACTGGCAGAAGTATCGAGAGAAATGAATGAAGAGAACAAAATTAAAGAGACCGAAGAAGACAAATACACAGATAGCAAGAGAATGAGCTTTAATTTGGAACAGGCAAGTAGTACTGATCATGAGAAAGACACTAACCTTACAGAAGTAGATCTCAACAAAGAAATAATGTCCCCAATACTGGTGAGTATTTTAAATTACATCTTTTATATGGCCTAAAATGCCTTTTATAGTTGAGCCATAATATTTGTCATCGCAAATTTCTCAAAAAGTTTTCAGTTAAATGTACAAATTTAGTATAGCATTTAATACATGTAGTGATTTTGAATTGGTACTTTACAGACTTGAATTTGTTTTTGTTGCATAGTACAAAAAAAGAGAAGGAGCAAGGAAAAAAAAATACTTAGAGCAGCCACAGAAAAATATTTAGCTTGCTAGTTAACATTTAATGCTTATTTGTTCGATAATTCATGTTTAATAATGGATGTTTTAAATATTTAATAAGTTATTTAATGTTTAAATTATACTAGCATACACACTTAATATTTTTATTTTTGCAACTGTTTTGAAGTTTTAATAACAAGGGCTGAGCTCTTAAAAACAGTGCTAGAAGGGAGATTATATATGTGATGGATGAATCAGTTCATTTTCCATCCATGAATTACAAATTTTGCATATGTTCGTTTTTAAATCTGTTATGCCGTACTCCCTCTTTAAACTGCAATTTTTAAAAATAATCCATATAAAAATCTGTATTTGACTATTTACATATGGCTATATTTTTCTTAAAAATATATATTTTATATGATTTGCGTTTTTTTTTAATCTGGAATTTAGATCTGCAATCTGACATTTAGAAAATTATGGAAATTGAAAGATTATACTTTTCAGTCCACATATTTCACCAAAAGTATGAATCAATTTGTTTCTCTTTCAGTGTACATTATTCAGGCATTCAGTATGCTAGAAGCCTAAATACTGATATGTAATCCAAGAAACATATTACAGGTAGTCTTTGACTTGTGACCACAAACGGGACCAGAATTTCTGTTGCTAAGTAAGGCAGTGGTTAAGTGAGTCATGCTTAATTTTATGATCTTTTTTGCCACAGCTGTTAAGTGAATCATGCAATTGTTAAGAGAATCAGGCTTCCCCCATTGACTTTGCATGTCAGAAATTGGCTAGGAAAGTTGCAAATGAGGATCCCATGACTCCAGGATTCTGTCATAAATAAATGCCGGTTGCCAAGTGTCCAAATGTCAGTTACATAACCATGAGAATGCTGTGATAGTTGTAGGTATGAGGACCAGTTGTAAGTCACTATTTCAACGTTGTTATAACTTTGAACAGTCACTAAACAAATGATTGTAAGCTGAGGACTATGTGTAAAAAATTTAAAATTTTGCTATCAATTTAAAAAATATGCCCACCAGTTAAACAATATATATGAAGATTTTTAAAAAACATTTATACAGTAACTATCGCTGGCAGATACCATTATAGGAAGAGATGTTCCTTCTTTTAAATAAAGGAATAATTTCTAAGATAGTGCCTGGTTAGAAATACTAGAAGCCACAATTCCAATATTGTATAATTGTTAAGACATTGGATTTGGAATGGGAAAACTAGGAAACTGGATCTCCACGTCACACTCCTCAAACTTATTACTATCACAGTGTATCCGTAGTCACATGATCAAAATTCAATTGTCATAAATATATGCCTGGCAACTAGCATATATTTATGACAATTATGGTATTATGGGGTCATCAACATTTGCGACCTTCCCATGGGTTTCCAATAAGCAAAGTCAATAGGGGAAACTATATTTGTTTTTTGACTGCATGGTTTGCTTAAAGATCATGGTGATATGCTTAATGACCATGGCAAAAAAAAAAATGTAAAATTGAGTGTGACTCACTTAACAACCGAATAGCTTAGGAGCAGAAGTTCTGGTCCAATTGAGGTTGTATGTCAAGAATCATCTGTATAATGGAAAACACTTGAAAAGTTTAGAATTCTAATTCAACAACTGAAAATTAGTTTAGTTGAGTTTTTTCTTTGGGAAAGGCTGTAGTCAAAAATAGAGTTCAAGTATTATACATTGTGCGACGTCACATGACGTTGCGAGTTTGACATGTCTGCTCTAGATGAAAACTCCAAGGTCCCATCCATCATGCCAATGACAAGAAATGTTGGAAATTGTAATTCAACAGCAGGAAGTCTACAGATGGCATACTATGATGTTGAACAAGACAGTCTTATTTTTTTCTATGTTTTTATGTTTATTTGTTCATAACTATTTTACCAGTATAATTTCATCACTTCTGAATAAAACAATGACATTCCTAAAAGTACAATAGTAATCATCATTTAAAAGAAAATCTAGTTTTAGTTTTAAATGGACAAGGGATTTGTTTGTTTAGAATGAACTCATTTTAAGAATCCTGAAAAGAGTTTTTTTGGTATGTGGCGCTTTGTCTAGCAAAATATATGATGTGTCCCAGATAAAAGAATCTCATCCTATTTTTGTGGAGCACTAAATGCCTGTTTACTTTTTATTTCTTAAGAAATTAATGTATTTTGAGCCTTGGTTTTTGGTTTGAATTTAGCTTATCTGTGTCATAAAGGCATAAATCGACAAGCTTGGTAAGCAGGTTTTGGTTTTCAGCATCAGAAATTATGTATAATATGTCCACAGGTTGATAGAGAAACAAATACAGAAGATAGGATTGAGTGTGTAGCTATAAGACCCAAGGACAAAGCCAGCCTCAAGACTCAACAGCATCCCTTTGTCAGAAACAGCATGATAGTACGTTCGCAGACGTTCTCTCCAGGCGAGCGGAACCAGTACATCTGTAGGGTAAGATAAAGAGTGTTCTCAATGAACTCTTGCTAACTAAAGACTCATTTAATTTCTTTGGCAGTGGCTTGTTGCTGGCGGTGGGCCACCTCTGGAGAACTTAGTGTCCATCTGTCAGCTGTGAGGCTATGAAAATTATGGCTTTCACCTATAAAATAATGTGTAACTTCTCAGCTATTTGGATGTTAGCATTTATCTCTTTGTATTAAGCTAGAATAAAGTTGTTTCAATTAACATTCCTTCACTCTTCCCCTCTTCCACTTACTGACATACAAACACATGGTTTGAACAGGATACTAAGGCATGAATTGTTTAACCATGATTTACTGAAGACAATCACAATTGACTGTGTTTGCACCATATGCTACATTTAGTGGAATATATGAACCCAGTCATTCTTTCTCAATAGTCATGTGTAGAATTGGCTTGCAGATGCCAAAAATATTTTTTCATTTTTTTTACTGTTAATACCCATTTCAGTGCAAATATTTATATTCATTTTGCTGTTTTATGACATTTCTAGCAGCATGTAATTTTTTAATTATGATTTGCAACATGAAAATAGCACTTATTCTAAGAATACCTACCAAAAGAAAGAAGGAAGAAGGTTCAACAAATCAGAATCTATCTACTTTTTAATTTCATGACAAAAATGAAATACTTAAATAAAATTGCTGTGTGCATGTGAAATCTGAAACAATATTTTCACATGACAGGGACAAAATATCAAAAACTGTGTACATATGAGCCATCAAATAATCTGCTTTTCAGTATTTTCAACATTTATTTGCCCTCCAATGCAAAAGATGGTTCTTCATTGTAGTCTCTGTGAATCAATCCTATTGGTATCTGGGCTTACAGTGCTCTTTTGAGAATTTTCAAAACCTGAAAGAGACTTGTGTATTTGTCTTCCATTGTCCTTTCTGTTTATCTTTAACTGCAGTAGCGGTATCCCTTGAGGTGTTCTCTGACACTATAACAGCAAATTTTTCTCCTGATACACACATCTACTTAAAGTACACGATCAAGACTTGACTCTCCTACCAGGCTGTTACAAAACAGAATGAGAGGAATTGATCATTTCATGACAGGGCTTCATAGTGAAATTAATTATTCTATCCAAACTCCCTTCAATACCAGGATGATCAATCAGTCTCAACCAAGATCTGTAAAAATAAAAAACCCAAATGTAAAAAGAAAAAGACAATCAAGGACAATCACTTTGTATGGTCCAATTCATCATTTCCTTCCAGTCTAAGTGAGGAAACCCATCATGCCTGTTGGTACAGATTTTCTGAATCAGCTTCCTGCCTTCTTTTTATTTGTGCTTTCATTTATTTAATAATGGGAACCCTTGTTACACAAAAGGATTCTTTTCCCTCTCGGATCACTCACACATTTTATTCCATACTGGAAGCAATTTGAGATTTATCTGGTATATGTTCACACCAATCAGTCCAGTTGAAAAATAAAATTAGTAGCGACAATACTCACTGCATATATCATCCCCTTGGGCCATGTCAATCCTAGATCATATCCTTCCAAGTAGGATGTCACATTGTTGCCATTAATAACATACTGTTAACAGCATCTGCCTCATTAAAATCAAGAAGTGAATGTTTTTCTGTATATTAAGTTATTGATGTTTGAACTGTGACATTTTATCAATATTGCATTAATTATCTCTTATGCAAAATTGTAGTCAAATCCAATAGAATATGCAGTAGTTATTTTTGCTAGTTTTAATACTAGTAGCTTTTTTATTTTATCTTTATCCACTCTGTTTCAATTACTGTCTGTTCTATTTTGACAGTTGAATAGAAGCGATAGTGATAGCTCAACATTGGCCAAAAGAACTCTCTTTGTGAGAAATTCCACAGAACGGCAGAGCTTGAGAATCAAAAGGGTAGGTGTTGTTTGACCATTTATTATTCATTTCTTTATTTTTCTAAAATATATTCAAATATATAATAAAAGTTTATTTATAAACCTAACTGCTATGCACGTTACACAGATTGGTGTGCATGCACATACAATCTCTTAATGAAGATGTAGATCATTATCTTGCCTCTTCTCTTATTCCAAGACTGCATTCTGGTAAACAAAAAACAAAGATTTATTTCTTTGAAAACAAGAAGTAGCAAAAATCTTTCTTGACATTGCATTTCTGCTTTTCTCAGAACTTTTATAGTAAAACTCTGGGCATCTAAAGGGTAGGAGTGAGGCTGCAATATAAGATATGATCATAACTTGTGGTTAGTTTGCCACAATATACTTTCCAGTTGTTCTTGTATGTGGACATTTTTCTGGCAATCTTTTCATAAATTTGACAATGCCACCTGATTTGTCAAGAAAATTGTGGGACTTGGACACAGAAAGCTGCTACATGCTAGTTCAGATCTTTGTCCAAGTTCACTATTGCTTACACTTTCTCCCAAGAGATATAGATTGGAATCTTTCCCAGCCTTACTTGGAGAGATTAAGGATTAAATCTAAGCATACAAAGCAAAGACTCTGAAACTGACTGCAAATCTTTTCGTCAAATTATAAATTTAGCACAGCAGTCAGTGCAAATTCTTTTTAGTTTAATTTAACTTTATATTACAATTCTGAGACCACCTGACTTCACCGCAAGACTGGATAATTTATAATTAAAAAGAATCATAAAGATAGCTACATATATTAAAGAAATTGGGGTGGAGAGAAATGTACATGACTGGAATTTTAACTTTCACATTGTTAATCAGACACTTTTTTTCATCAACTAACAAATTTATTTATTCTTAGAATTGTGTTTTGTTCCTGGAACTGTGAATGTGATGTCCTCTTACACATTTAATTAAAAAAGGGAGAGATTGTCTCAGATAGTGTCAGAGAAGAGGCCTGTCATTTCTAGTTCTAGTGACATAGCAGACCGGAGAGCTGCTACTAAGATTAATAGATCCATCTCAAACAAGATTTTTTTTTCAGATTGTAAAGCTAATATCCAGACAATTTACTTCCAAATACATCCCAAGGAAACTGATATGTCCTCAAACAATGTTTTATTGATAGAGATTTATGCTTAATTTCAATTACATGGAACCCTTTCTGATTAGTTAAGTGGCAAAACAAGCTAATCACTTTCAAGAAAGGTGGGGGTTTTTTTAACCAAAAAAAAAATACGTTCGTTGGCTTTAACTGCATAATGATGTATCTAGCACAGGGGTAGGCAACCCAAAACACTCAAAGAGCCACTTGGACCTGTTTCCCACCAAAAACAAAACACCGGGAGCCGCAAAACCCTTTTGATATCTAAAATGAAGATAACACTGCATATATCCTTTTTTACCTTTATTATAGGTGTGTGTGTGTGTGTGTGTAATACACACACGCACACACACACACATACATACATACATACACACACACACACATTAAAAATAAAAGTAAAAATATGACTCTTGGGAATATCCATACCATTAAAACAATGATCACCAAGAGAATGCTTTAAGAGAATAAAATTACATACACACAAAGGTAAAAAAAAGGATATATGCAGTGTTATCTTCATTTTAGATGTCAAAAGGGTCTCTCTCTCCCTCCCTCTCTATCTGCCCTTGGTCTGCCACTCCTCTTCCCCACTCTCTCTCTCCCCCCCCTCTCTCTTTCTCTCTCTCTCTTTCTCCCCCCCCCCTCCTATCTGCTGCTCACCTGGCAAGCTTCAAGCTGTTGTCCAACAACCTCCGGGGTAGGCAACCTCGTCTCTTTTATGACTCATGGACTTCAACTCCCAGAATTCCTGAGTCAGCCTAGCTGGGCTAGCTAGCTCTCTCCTGCCCTTCCTGCTTCCTGCAGAGATGCAGCAAAGGGAGGAGCTCCGTCCAGAAAGCTTTTCAGCTCCTCGGAGAACACTGTAAGTGCACTCTCTTTTACACATACACACACACACGCACGCGCGCACACACACAGACACACACACAGAGAGAGATAGATAGATAGAGAGAAGCAGGGAAGCGCAATTGCCTCTCTCTGTCTCTGTCTCTCTCTGCAAAGGTAGAGGAGGCTGGGAGCCACAGGGGAAGGCTCAAAGAGCCGCAGGTTGCCGACCTGTGATCTAGCATAAATTTACCCATTGACTGACTTTCTTAAAAAAAAAATACAAGTGTTAATAGAATAGAACAGAATAGAATAGAAGCTTTGTCACTTTAAATGTACACTAAATCAACATACATTAAAATAAAATTTTGTTGCATTTAGCTCTCAAAAAAATACCTTTATGCATATACCTACACACACACACACACATGACACAGAGAAACATCACAGTCTAGTTTGAATATATACATATATATGGCGAAAAGAGCCAATGCAGCTGCAGCCAAACGGGACACCGCCATTTTCATAACTTCATAACAGAATTCTTTACAGTACATGACAATATATGAATTTCTAAGCAGCCATGTACAGTATTATACAGCAAACATTAAGTGAAAAAAGTAACCCTGAAAAACCAAAATTTCCTTCTTACTTAACACTATATATGCATACACCAGAGCTTTCCCTCAATCTTTAATAAATTGCATAGCTGCTAGAGTTGCACTGCTAAATTGCAGTGTTCCCACTCATATTTCCTGAGGCAAAAACTATTCTAGGAGACTGGGTAGCAGACACAGAATTAATAAGAAAAGTCCTTTGGCCATTGTTTCATTTACTCCAGCATTCTGTCATGGAATGGCCCATGGAAAGCTTACAAGCGTGGACTGCAGGGCTCTAACTTGCTTTCCTGATATTGTCCAACCAAATGCAATTAAGGCATGCTGCTTAAGGATTCAGGAGGTAATAAAAAGCTATGCCTATTCATAGTCATTGATTGCATGATCCTGCATGAACCTGTCTAATCCCTTTTAAAAAAAACTTGACAATCTCCCACAACTGCTAGCAATGAATTCCAGTATAACCAAGACTTCTATAGAGTATTTTCCTCCTGTTGGTCCTGAACCTTCTCTGTAACATTATATAACATTTTTTTTCTTGCCTGTAAATGAGCATAGTACTAGGAGCCTTGCTTTGAGGGCAAATAGAACTCAGAATTTCTCAACTCTTGCCCTGCCATTTGCTACAGTAATGTATTTCACTTGCATACATTTGCAAGATAGCTTTTTTTAAAAAGTTCACCATCTTAAAATCGGTCTTTTTTAAAATCTCAAGAGCTAGAAATATTGCAAGCTCCTATTTTTTCCCCTGAGGAATACCCCTCATCATAGTTGTACCAAAATTGTTGTGTTTTGATATTGAAATAAAGTTTAAAGATGTTGCAGAATATATTTTTACTGTGTTATCTCATTTATGTTGCCTTAGGAAAATTGTATGACAGTTTCTTATCTTAGAGGGATTCAAAAATATTCCAGTTCCATAAAAACAACTGCAGAATAGACACCCCTTAGAATTTAGTCAGCTGCAACTTCATTTGTACAAAAATAGTACCTTAGTGCCCACAGCAAATTTGTTATGTTTCATAAGGGTGTTAGGCTGTTCTCATACAGTGCATGTATTACATTATATTTCTTATTTTCTGGAATTCCTGATAACTATAGCCTACTTGCCAGTCCAACTTACAGAGAGCAATGCGACAGCGCCTGGTCCGTACTTCTCTTGACTTAGAGTTAGATCTTCAGGCATCCCGGACCCGACAGAGTCGCCTGAATGATGAACTACGGACACTTCGTGCTCTTAGGCAGAAGTTAGAAGAGATGAAAGCATCAGAGCAGACGGACCTCCCTCCATGTATTTTAGAGGATGAAAGATTCCAAAAGCTTTTGAAGCAAGCTGAAAAAGAGGTATGAACATGAAGCAAATGTATGATGCTTTAAGTTTCTGCACGTACAGTTTTGACCATGTGTTCAAATAAAATTGAAATACTCAGAATGTATATGATCTTTATATTATTGGTATCATTTTTTTTCATAACAGAAATGATCCACTGCCAAGGGCCCATCAAATGTAGTTTTCTAGACAATGGGGTATCATCAGCCCCATGGTGGCCTGTTGCCTTGTCCATACCTCATTTACTTTATGAGAAGAGGATCTCTATGTTTAAAATGACTGGATCAGATTGGACCAGTGTACACACTCACAGGGCAACAGCTGTTTTAACATTTTCATGGTCATATACAGCTCTGAATAGTTAAAAAGCATTCATGTAGTGCCATCTTCAGTTGTAATATATTTACAGAAGGAAGCCTACCAAGGAAATATTGTACATTGTCCTCTGCTGGCAAAAGCTTGCTTAATAAGAGATTTGCCTTTTTGGCAGGAAAAGGAATATATAAATTTTTGCTGATATAATTAAAGTGTTTGACATATAGGTGATACAGAACACAGGTACTCCTCAACTTACAACTATAATTGGGTTCAGAATTTCCATTGCTATACAAGGCAGTTGTTAAATGAATTGCACCTGATTTGATGACCTTTTTTTGCCATAGTGCTTAAGGAAATCACTGCAGTTGTTAAGTGAACCCGTTTTCCATCATTTACTATGCTTGTTGGAAGCCAGTTGAAAAGGTCACAAATGGTGAGCATATGATCCTGGAATAGTGCAATTATCGTAAATACATGGCAGTTGCCAAGCACCCAAATTTTGATCACGTGACTGTGGGGATTCTGCAATGATCGTTAGTATGAGAATTGGTTGTAAGTCACTTTTTTCAGAGCCTTTGTAACTTTGAATGGTCACTAAACAAATAGATGTAACTTGAGAACTACCTGTACACCTTTATATTCCATATTCAGTAGTTTAAAAAGTATCTCTTCCCCCCCTCATATCCTCACGTCTTGAAACCTAGACTGGTTTTTTGTATGTTTAGCAAAAACTTTACCCTGTCCCATGCCAGACTGGCTTATTTGGAAAGAAACAAAGAAATAATAATTCACTGACAAGACTTCATCAATATGAAATTATTCCTATACTGCATTGATGATTTTCACAATCATCTTAGGTCAAAGGCCCAGTAAAATAAGGTTGTTTTCATGTGTTGTAAAAAAAAAACAGGAAAGTAGAGCGTCAAGATCTTATGGCAGAAGCAAATTCCATAAAATGGGGGGGGGGAAATGTCCACTGCCCATTTATGTTATGAGGAGTCTCTCTCTTTGTAAACCATCGGACCAGATTGGAAAAGCACATGATAGCACAGCAAGATCTGTTTTAAATGTTTTCATGGTCGTGTACTGCTCTGAATAGTTCAAAAGCGTTCATATGGTGCCCTCTTCAGTTGAGATATGTTTACAGAAGCAGGCCTACCATAGAAATACTGTACCTATTACAATTCCAAAGTCAGTAAACACTTTAAAGACTTTAATATATTATGTATAAAAAGTTAAGGAAAGTATTAAAGCAGTGGAGTACTGTATTAATACAAAAGGGGGAGTTTAACAAAACCAGTCAACATCACAGGAAGCAGATAAATGAAATATAATTTAGACTGTGTATTATATACTTCAAATTGTCAGAAAAAAATTTAAACCCTTGGCTAAAAACCGATTATAAAATTCCAGTTGTGCTTTTTTTCTTAGCTCATCTAAAGGGTAGATAGCTTATAGGGTATACAAAGCCACTTTGGCATGCAAGGTTTTTTGTGACCTGCTGTCTTTTTTAGATGCTGTTAATCTATCTACCGGTGCTAATAAGAAGGGTTGGCATGCTAATAGAGCTTCTATTTGGGACATCACTTTCTGGTGTACAAACAGCCCACAGATTACAGTGCCATTAAAGAAACTGTCAAGAATTAGGTAGACCTTTTCATTTATTCAACATCTTAATTAAATCAGACCAAAGTCATTTGAATTGCAGTGGCAAGATGCCTTTCCTTTTATTTGTGCTAAAGATGGATTGCAAGGTACTTACTTAAGTCCTCTATCATAGTATGAGTTATTAAATGTGGCTTTAATTTTTTTCCATTAGGCTGAACAGTCAAAGGACAAAAAGAAACAGGGATTAAATGCAGAAAAATTGATGAGGAAAGCTTCAAAAGACGTGTGCTGGCTACGAGAGCAAAGCCAGAAAGTGCCACTACAGGTGCAGTCTTTCAGGTGAAGAGAATTTGTATCTCTATGAGCTTTATAAAAGTGTTCCGCAATTTCTACACTGAATTTTCAGCTTCAGTATGCAGCAAACAGTTCTAGAATTAGAAATCTCTGTAGCCTTTGTGGCCAAACTATAATTTTAAATGTGACTACGTTAGACAAAGATGGAATGTGTTTTTCTTGCCTCTACCTGTGTTTTGAAATGTGGTAAGTGACAAATTCAAGTGCATGCTTATTTTTAAAATATATTAGAGTATGTATGTATGTATGTATGTATGTATGTATGTATGTATGTATGTATATAAAATAAATAATACACGATCACCGGGAGAATTTTAAGTAAAAATACTTTACTAAAAATACTTTATTAAAAAAGGGTTGCCAAGCTTTCATTGGGGAACTCCCCAACATCATCAGGGCTAAAAGGCCGTTCTAGCCTTTATCTTTGCTAGAACGGCCTTTTAGCCCTGATGATGTTGGGGAGTTCCCCAATGAAAGCTTGGCAACCCTTTTTTAGTAAAGTATTTTTAGTAAAGTATTTTTACTTAAAATTCTCCCGGTGATCGTGTATTATTTATTTTATTTATAACTATGCCCGGGAGTCGCATTTTTACTAACATTATTGAATATATATATTTATATTTGTTTTCTGAGGTTTTTGCGGGTGTTTGTATGTATATAACCAAAGACCTACATATATATACATGCATACATACATACATACATACATACATACATACATGCAAAAAGACAAGAAGGAGAAAAACTAATAACAGCAGCAGCAATAATTATGGTGGTTATGGTGTATGAATTGTGGTTGTGTTGTATGAATTACATTTGAATAGTTTTGTCAGGTCAATAATTAGAGAGCAGAACATGTGAAGCAATTAAATGTAATTCACACTTGGACAACGTGAGCTCTGACAGTTATAGAAAAAGGTATAAATAGTCTATGGTAAACTTCACTGCAGTTTCGATCATTTACAAGACAAATTAATTCAAACATTCTGAAGTAAATAATCAAAGACAAGATTTAGCTTTGGGATCCCATGTCCAAAAACAACTCAGAAAGAACTAGTTCTTTTCAATAACAAGTAAAATACACTTGTTTTAACTCTATTGTCTATTAAAAATAAATTCCTGAAATATTTATAGGATGGGCAAAGGATCATATCAGTTCTGGCATATGAATGTGATAAATTGAATGCCTAGGTATTATACTCATGAGATAGCTTAAAGAAATATATCTACTATTTCTAACGGGAATAGGATTACAGAAGAATTTTGGTTGAATCTTAGGAAGTTTCTGTCCAATTAACAAATTATTTACACCAGAGAAATGTCTGCTTCACTTGTTTTCAGCATCCTGACTGTCAATAGTCAGTTTTTCCTAGTAATTCACCTGGCTAGAAACACATTGATGAAATGACCAGAATAAAGTTATATCTGTCCGTCTTTGTCTGAGGAAATAGTGGTTATAGTTCAAATTAAAACCACGGCCATTTTGGTTATTGGAAAACCTCTCTGATCTCTTCCCTAAATGTTAGCCAATCTTGCTTTGTAACCACTAGCTAAGGGAATTTAAGGGAGCTTATACACAATAAATGCTTTTACCTTCTTGACCCAGCCCCCAAGGTAGCTGGAAAGAAATGTTCTAACAATGGATCTTCCATCTTGCTGAAGAGGCTGAAGGTGGCAGGAAAGTAATATTTTCCATTAGAAAACAGAAAAAGGCTGAAATGAACTTCATATGTCAGATAGATGTCTTCAGAGGAACAGTGACCTGCAGTTGGCCTACTACAAGACTGTTCCTTTCCATCTGACCATGGGGCTCTATGTGTCCATGGCCATTTCTGCTTCGGCTGCTACAGAGAATGGAAGAGTTGGGTTGTTTGGGGTTTTTTTTTTGTTTTGTTTTGTTTTGTTTTTTGTCTCAAGAAATACTGACCTTGTATAACTCCTTCTATGATGTCACTAGTCCCATTGGTAAGCTCCATCTGGGAAATAGTCCACTGTCTGGTCATTTTCCCACTCAGAATTTGGTCTGGTTGTCCCCACGAAAAGAAAAAAAAAGGATCAGATAATTGCATCCATCTGGATCACAGTAATTGGCTGCTGCCAGAATTACACAGCAGCTCCGAGATCTGGTCAAAATTGTTTTCTCCATGGAGGATCTAGGCTACCCAAAGTTCTTCTGCCCATTACAATCTTAATGCTACTACCTGCCTCTCCTTTCCCCAACTCCACTTCCCCTCAACCCCGCTGTTCTTGGCCAATGAACCCATCTAACCACTATCATTCCCCACCATAGATCCTAGTAACTCTTCTCAATTGCTGTTGCTTCCAGGCGTATAGTAATCAGAGAGGCTCGCCTTACCATTTCTACATCTGCATTGCTCTTTTCCCATTTCCAACAAACCCATTCCCAAGTGGATGGTTGATCATGCTTGCCAACACTCCCAGTCTGCACATAGGAAAAAAAAAAAACAAGACCACTTCAGTGAACAGGAGCCTGGGCCAGATATCAGACAGCAAAATACCTGAGCACTGTCAGGGCTCAAGTTAGTGATTCATGCTGTATCTGTTCCAGTTGCCTCAGCTCTCTCCTGCCATATCTCAGGTTTCCACTCTGCACTGCTTCTTGCTGGAAAAGTGGAGCAAAGATGCCAAAGGGCTTAGTGGCATTGCTGTACTGGGTCTACTCTGTTCTCATGCATAAAGATAGACACTCTAGCCAAACCTTGCCATCATTACCAGCTGGCACCAACAGAAACCTGATGCCATTTAAGGTGACAAGAACCACCACCACCACTACATTCCAAATGCTGCCTAAGGGCTTAACAGAATCCAGTGGGGTGAATAATGAATCTGCTGGATTGTATGTCTCATTGCACCCTCTTCTGTATTGACTTCCCTGGTTACTAAGTGTCTCCTGCCTCCATCTCTTCTGTTTCCTTGGAATACAACACTCTTGTAGTCAGCCTCTCATCTTCTTCATCCATCCAATCTACAAAGCATACTTAAATCTCCCAAAATAAATCCCAACTCTTGCTGTGTAATCAACATTTATGTTCTTATTCACCATGTTGTTTTCCAGGTAGAGAAACTATGGATGCCCTTGGTAGAAGAAGGGCACATTGTGTCTCCCATAACTTTCTAAACTACTTAAGTGGCCTATCACAAAATAAATATTTTTTACAGAAATATCATTTGAGCACTGCCCTACTTGAACTCCGTTAAATTGTATTTCTAATAACTGTATATTAAAAGCCTAAGGATTTGCTATATAGTGCTTTGATGCAAATTGTCATTTGCTTCTTCTTTCTTTTATCTTCTAGTATTGGAGTCTATTATATATTGTTCTACATTTAAATGCATTTTTGTTTCCCCTTATATTTATTTTTAAGGGAGAAGATGGCATACTTCACAAGAGCGAAAATAAGCATACCAGCTCTACCAGCTGACGATGTCTAGCAATATTTTGCATCACAAGGTGTTTTTCATTTTTTTTAAGTGAATGCTTTTATATTATTGTTCTACAATCTTTTAAAGACATCTTTTTGAATTCAATGTAGATATTGTGTATAAAATATAATACATTATGCTCTAATGTAACATTTCAGACGTGTAAACTGTTCCCTCTGTCTTTTCTCTAGAAATGTAAAGCAAAATGTGTTTGATACACCAATGAGGCTAATTTTGTACAGTTTGTATATGTAAGAACAAAGGAAATCTTATTATGTATATCCCATTGAATTGCACTGCTGCTCTACATCATGCAATATGTTCAATATGTTTCATTTCCCCTGCTTATTTTTTTTCACAAGGACAACTGAAAACGGCTGTTGAGCCATCTAATCGGTTTTGAATAAAGAGAGGTGATACTACTAGTACTACTAGTAGTAGTTGTAGTTGTAGTAGTAGTATGTACATAGCTTTCAGGAAATGTGAGTCCTCTTCCATGCCAGCAGGTCTGTCTAGTGCAAGGGTCCTCAACCCCTGGTCCGTGGACCAGCACCGGGCCACAACATGCCAGCAACCGGGCCGCACAAACAAGCAAAGCCCCATCCACTACATGCAGGTAGCACACGCCCTCTCTAGTCTGCGGAAAAATCTTTCTCCACAGAACCGGTCCCTGGTGCCCAAAAGGTTGGGGCCTCTGGTCTAGTGCATACAGGTGCTTTTTAGATTTCTGCTGTTTACATTGGAACTTTCAACTCTGACAAAAAAAACCTTTTCCGTTTTTTACCTTTTTTTTTGAATGAAGGAAGAGGCCTAGAATACTCAGCTGGAAAAATATCCTTTTTGAATGTATTGAATTTGGGGTCGTATTTCAAGTCTCACTGTATAACCCTCCATGTGTTAAAATTGATGATATCCAAATGACAGCTGTTTTGGGAAAAATGGATCCAAATTCACTTGCAAAATATTTTAAACCTAAATACTCAAAGAATGAAAATTAAAATTAATATGTAAATATATCCATTAAGAGCTTATTAAAATAGTTACTTTCGTGGAGCCCAAACAGATCCATTTTCACAAGAATTGTTCTTAAGAAATGCATTTATCTAAGGCAGTACTTCTGAACCTTGTCAACTTTGAAATGTGTGGAGTTCAACTCCCAGAATGCTGGGGAAATCTTGGAAATGAATCCCAAACATCTTAAAATCGACAAAGTTGAGAAACACTGATCTAAGCATCCATTGTATATTATTGTCATAAAGATTTCTTCTAAGAAACCCAGATAATGAGCACTTAAATAATATTAGTTGGGTTAAGATTAAATGGACCATGTAAATTGGTTCCTAAATTAATTATGGCACAATAAGAATTAAACTTGATCAATAACATTAGTTTGTTTAAACAGCAACAGGTTTAGATACAAGATGATTTTTTTAAAATCAGGTTATTCTCCAAAATCAGCTTCTGGCTAGAAGTTTACAATAGGCAGTAAGCAAAGGTGCTTCACAAGCACATGTGGGCAAATCTGAAATCCCATCCCACCCCTACCCCTTTCTCAACTCGCTGCACATCTTCCAGAAGGCTCAAGTTGGAATTTGAGGAACTTTAGTAGCTGACCTTGGGTTATTGTGCATGTATAAATAAACATGTGCAGAGTCTGTGAACATATTTAAAGTCTAGAAAACCAATGCCAAAACTTTGGAAGGATCTCTTCAACGAAGTTTGCTTTATTCAGCCCATCAAGGGGTTTTGCATAGCCATAGTACAAGTTTTCTTGGCATCCTCACGTCCCTTGGTAATTCGCATCTGATAACCACCAAATTAGTTTTGATGTCATCATCATGGAACACACAGTGTTGTTTCAGCTGTGATGTCACAGTTTTGTAGACCAGACTAAAGCAAGGGATCTAATTGCTAAGAAGGGATTGAAGAGCTAGTAGTGATAAGTGTCTTTTACTAAATTAAATCTGCATGCCATACTCCCCATTGATTAAAGCAGAACTTCTCAGTTTGTAAGGTTATTTAAACAATGTAACTATTGCTTCTGCCCTGTGGTATGATAATGAGAGCATAACAGTTATTTAGGCAATTTTAAAGCCATTTGATGAAAGTGACACACAGTTCTATATGTGATACATATTCACATACACACAAAAATAGCCACCAAGGAAACAAAAAACTTCTATTAATTGCATACTTGTTCATTTTGCAATACAATTGTATATCGACATGCTGTGTTTTATTTTTCAAGGATATAATAGTATTATTGAAAAAATAGGCGAACATTTACAGTATGTTCATTGCCATTCTTAGAATTACAGAAGGAAATAAATTATTGTGTCTTAATTTATTTTTGTACTGTAAATCTCCCAAAGGGTCCTATTATTATGCACAACAATGTGTAATTATTCAGATCTTTTCAACATTACTTGTAACTTGGAGGCAGGAAACTAATTGTGCTTAATATTTTCTGGGTTCCTCTTTTTTTTAACCCATCCTTTAGAAGTGAACTTAATATGTACATGCCATTTACTCTGTCAAGGTCAATGTCTAAAAGCAGAAGTCGCAAAGTTATTTAATATAGAAATGAAAGCTGATAGTTTCAGCTTCTCAGTTTGACATTACAGTATAATAATGTTTTAGAATGATGTATAGAGTTGTATCTTGTGATTTATTTATTTTCAGTCTTATTTATGTACAGTACAGTTTAATATAGTTCAGTTCTGCACATTTAAATTTGCAGGTTAAAGAAAGCTACTGTGCAAATTGTTTTAGGGACACATACAAATATACCTCCCTCTTTCTTTTCTAAATGTATGCCACAATGTTCAGACCAATGTTTAGAGAGAAACAAAAAGAATAATATATTGGCAAGACAAATTTTGTTAGCTGTTTATAAAAAGGTTCTTCTATGCATGCCTTCTTTCACATGCTAAAATTGCAGCAATCTCAACTAATACTTAAGAAAACATTTTGAAGTTCTGGAAATCTTACACAAAGTTTGTTTAGAGTTTGAAACAATTTTGAAAACCATGATCATGGACAAATATCAGTCAAGTCTCATGCTACACTAATATCATTTTTATCATAAAAGTTACCTATCAGAGAATAGAACAAATGTAATCATATCTTGATTATCATTACTTTAGTACAATCCTATATATCATATTACAAGTATTACAAGTATTATACAATATTGTTTAGCCAAATGAACAAAGTGTTAGCAAATCTTTTATTGGATTAAAATAAACTTCAATTTTTATACAGTCATGTTATATTTAAGTATTAAGTGCTTAGAACTGAACTAAATATTTAATCAGGTTATATCACAAATGTCTTCTATCCTAATATTGTCTGTATGTGTACACATCACCTAGATTAACCTTTGTCTCTGCACTTTTCAATTGTTTCAATGATTTGGAAAAAAATAGTTTTTTAACAGTATTTTTTGCATGTTTCTATTCTTTACAAATACCAGTTAAATCAAGTTTATGTGATTCGTGCAAATGTTCACATAAAAAATTCACCAATAAGACCATGTCATAATGGTGGTCCATTAATCAGTATTGTAGATGGGTGGTTTATTTAGTAACAATGATTATGTAAGCTGTACTTATAAGGTCTTACAAAAACCATAATCCATAACAGTGTATGATTTTTTTTTCTGATAGCATTTTATACACTAAGATATGATATAAAACTGACTGGATCTGAAACTCAGAAATGAGAGCAAGTCCGTGCTCTGTTTTCATCCCTATTTCCAGAATGGGAAATAGATATTGCAATACAGAAAAGTTATTTTTAAAAATACATTTTATGACACTGGAAATTTGGACACTTCCAATATTAACAGATATGTAACAGGTAATAATATCTGATTATATAATACATTGAAACGTGTTTATTTAACTAATAATACAAATCAAACTATATAAATATAGATTATGCTAAACAGAAATAGATATAATTTTCATCCTAAATTTAATTTATATATACTTGGCAGATTTTTTTAGTTTGATTTAGCTATTGTCAAAAAGACTAACTCTTCTGTGTATTTCTTCTGTGGCCTAACAAAAAGAATTATGATCAATTCTGCGCAGAGAAGTAGAAATCCACTGGTAACCAATGAATAGTGTATTCTCATATTCCCATCTGACAGCAATCTTTTGAGTAGCCTCCTATCAAATTTCAACACTGGGCATACTTCAGAGCAACAGAGCACATCAATGTTTATACAACTAGCACTTTTTGTAGCTTTTATTCTTGATGTTCTGACACCAGACAACTGTCCATTTGTGAAGAGTGTTAAAATTCTGTAAACCTTGACTTCTTTAGGCAAAGCTAAAAGAAAAAAAAATACATTTTACATTATGTCCTTTGTTTCCTTTTTGCACTACCTATGTGGCTTTTCAGAGCACGTTCCTTCATTTCATAAAAAATAAGGCTATTCCAGCCTTGAAAGCTACTTAATAGGTTTAACAATATTTCCCTATAAAATACCATTAACTTTTCCATTAAGCAATATAATCAGAAGTATGCAAGTTTTAGCATTTGTGAATATACTGATAGATTTTGAGTTGGGGATTAGTGAAGAAGTGTTGTGTTATTACTATCAGTAAATAAGTGCTGTAAATGTCACATTATTTGTTCTTTCCAATGATATTTTAATAGAGAAAAATGACAAATCATGATTTCAAAAGTATTAGACTCATAAGATCCATTCTATACTGAAAATACAGTTCAAATACTAATATTTTATTTCTTTTTAGGAAACAATAGTCAATCCCTTTACTTGGATAGATTTAACTGCATAATTGAATTCATATTCATTCAGAAGCAAATCCACAGAGTTCAATAATGTTTTCCTCCAGATAAGTACAAATATAATTAACCTAACACTCTTAAGTTTGCAAATTCAATTATGTAACTTGGAACTGCTTAATAAAAGACATTACACATTATAAATGGATGGCACACAAGCAATCCAATTTTTTAAAGATGTAAACAAAAAAATGCTGTCATCACACACTAAAATTAATAAAGTTTTTCTCAGACTTTAGAAAGTATATTGGGATCATATATACTTAACACTTAAATATCAACGCATAGCATAACAGAACTGATTCTGTACAATACCAGTATTTCACATCTAATTAAAATATTTTGTTAGCTACTCCCTTGTATCTTAAAAATGGGCAACAGCATACAAATGGGAGGGGGAGAAACCTTGGTGTTTTCCATGCTTTAAAATGAATCCTAGTCTGTAGATACAACTGAGATGTACTAACCAGTATTGTTATTTGAAGGTTTATTTAAAGGTTTTGCTGCATATTTGAATTTGTAGCAGAAAGTTTAAATGAGAATAGTCTTTGAATTTTAAGACAGTAGAAAAACAAAAACAACCAGTTCTGAAAATCAAGTACCAAACTTAGCAGTGTATGATTGTGTTATATGAGAATTCATATTTCCTTATGTCTAATTTGAGCTTTGGATATTTTTTTACAGTACATTTTAAGTCGAAGTAGACAAAAATATATGATGAAGTTTTCTATGTCATTTTAATCTACTCTTGTTGTGAAGCCAGCATTTCCAGCTTTGTAATAAGAAGGATAACACAGTTCTTGAAATAAAAAAATCAGGAAAAATATTAGAAGCTCAAGTGTACTTAATCAAGTAAGGAACAAAGTGTCCTTTAATCTTAATTGGAATAAGGTTCCGCATATTGTGTTTAAGTGCATGAAAGGAAAAATAGGCTCTCCTGTGTTTCTCAGTCTCTTAGACTTCGGGGTCTGTTGTTACTTTCCAAGTGTTGACAAGCATCTAGCACACCTGCCACTGTATAATGGACCGAGGACGATTGAGTATCAACAGAACAGACGCTGCAATTTAGCAGTGAGCCTCCAAAAATGAGACAGAATCCAGCAAACCAGCCTACAAAAAGTGCTTCCCCGAAGTCCCACCTCGGAACGATGTCTGGAATAGTTTCATCCCAAAATTCCTGCACAGTGGTATGAGCAACCCAAGACACTGGGACTAAGGCTGCAGCTCCTGATATCCAGCAGAATATTCCTCCCAGCAACAATAACCGCTTCTTTAGATTCTGTTGTTGTTCTCCAATCTTTAAACAATCCAATCCAAAACTTGAGAGTAAGAGACCAGAAAGTCCTAATCCATTGGATATGAACATCAGAATCCTAGAAATTTGGAGCTCGGGAGGTAAAGCTAAAAAAGAATCAAATTCTTTGCACTGCATTCCCCCTTCTTCGTGGACCACACAAGCTTGCCACAGTCCCATTGTCCAGATCTCCAATTCATTCAATTCTAAATTGAGATTTTTCCACTGAGGTAAATAAGTAGTGAGGCAGGATAAGACCCATCCTAACAGGCAAAATAAAATCCCTGCTAACTGCATTATGGTTCGGTTCACTAAAGCCATTGTAAAGGATGCAATCGGCTGGCTGGAAAATCTTTTGGCCAGGTTTTTTGGAACTTTGACTTTATATAGTGGCTGTAACTCCGATGATGGTTGCTCTTTGCTCTCCTGAATATAAGCTTTAACTATTAACCCTTTGAGAACTCTGAAACATGTTTTTGTTCTTCCTGAATATAAAGTTTCTTGCAAAGGACGAAGGACTCTGCTTAACTATGAGTTCAGTTTTGTGATAAGGATTTGATCTGTTACCTTTCAATTTGCTTGGTAAAATTATATCCCAATGCCTGATGATTGCAAGTCTGAGGATGAACAAAGAACGCTCTATGACCCCTCACCTAAAAAAAAACAACAGAAATCTTTGTGCTTCAATACGGATTAATTAGATTTTAAGTGGTGATAAAAAAAAACAGGTCTGTCTGCAACAGGACTTCATTGTAATAGCTAAATTTGAGATTTCAGGGCTTGAAATCAAGGCCTTGTAGAGAAAGGCATCCTTTTTTCTTTCTTCTGTACTACTGTACTTCCTTAGTTAAATGTATATATTAAGACTTATCTTTCATTCTCATCATTTTTCTGCAAAGCTTTGAAATATATTGATTTTCTGTCCTGTCTGAAGTTACTTTTAAATAAAGTTACTTTCTTTACATCTGAGTTTTTCAAGAACAAAAGCTTTGGTATAGTGGTTAAGATGTCAGTTTAGAAACCAGTAGACTATGAGTTTCAGTCCCACCTTAGGCATGAAAAACCAGCCGGCTGACTTTGAGCCAGTCACACACTCTCAGCCCAACTCATATCACAGGTTATTGTTGTGGGGAAGATAGAAAGGACTATTGATATGTTTGCTGCTTTGAGTTGTATATGAACTAATATGCAGGATAAAAGTCTTTTTTAAAAATAGAAGTTTAATCTAACAAGTGATGTCCAACAGTATTCAAGAATCTACCATAGGCAAGGATTATTCATTAACAAATTTTTAATATAAATCTTAGAGATTGAAACAGAGGCATTTGTAACTATTTGATAATCCATTTCCTCAACAGGTATAACTAAGGTCTCATTCATATATATTTCCTTTCACAAAAACATCTTAAATCTTTTAAATTACTGTGTTTCCTGAAAATAAAACTGGTCTTATATTTTTTTGCCTCCAAAAGAGGCATGAGGTCTTATTTCTGGGGGGGGGGAGTCTTTTCCACTCACCTTGCAACGGCAGCACCAATTCAATCCATAGCTTGATTTTCGGCTGCAATAGCCTTCCAGAAAGGCCTCTGATGGTGAAATGCAGACTCAAGCTCCATTCTCAGCTGCAGAATGAAGATGCTCCTTTGGCTGCAAAAGAAATGGGCCGGTGAGGCAAGTGTCAATCCATAGGAGGCCTGGCTGCAAAGGTAAGCTCTACCCCCCACCTTAGCTTGATTTTTAGGGGTAAGCCTCTCCCCAAAACTAGGGCTTATTTTTGGGATAAGTCTTATATTAGGCCCACCCACCCCCCAAAATCAAACTAGGGCTTAATTTTGGGGTAGGTCTTACTTTGGGGCAAATATGGTAAGAGTATAAAGAATGAGCTATGCAAATTAGGGCATGCATGTACAGCTGATTTTCTTATTTTAGTAATGTGTTTATACTTGCTGCTAACACATGGGAAAAACAGCCTCTTCACCATCAAAAATGTTATCCCAATACAGAAAATGTACTTTAGATTAATCTTTTATGTCATTGCTTTATTTGGTTTTGCAACGACAGCTAGCAAAAGTGGTTTAAATGATTTTAAATTCTTCATTTAAAAAAAAACACCCTTTAAGGTAAGAGAGGAAGAATTTCACAGTTTCCATTTCTTCTTCATAATACTGGCAGTGATAGCAAATTTTGTCCTGTTTTGTGCCCAGTCTCTCTTGCATGGTTGTGGTAGATATCACTGAATAATACTGGTTTTTTTGTAGAGTTCATGGTATGCCCTGCTACTGAGCATAGGATTACAACTACGTTACAGTATAAATGTTTGCATAGTGAATTTTTGGAATTGCCTTGCCTTTAAGGAAATTGAACCTTTGCAAGATAGAGATACTGTTTGATCAAAGTCAAACACATTCTCATTACTTCCAGGATAGATTACTGTAACCCACTTTATCTGGTGCTGCCTTGAGACTATGTGGAAACCGCAATTGGAACAAAATATTGTAGCCTGTGTTTTAGTGAGTAAGAGCTACAACAGCATTAAAACACTAATAGGTTTTGGAGTACAACTCATAATGCTGGCTATAGCTATAAGGCCTTCACAGCTTGGCTACCAGTTTGTCTCCTGCAAATAGAAAGGTTCCATCTCATGCTCTCATCTTGTAGAGGAACATTAGACTCAGTGCTTCTCCACTGCAGGGCTGGAAGTGCCTCTTTTCTGGGATTTGGTTAATGCCCATGCTGATGTCCTTTGGAAAGGTTGTAAAGATGATGTAATTCAAAAATTATTTGTTACGATTAGCCCCTGCAGAGATATAGATTATTCTTAGCTGATGCAGTTGTTTTAACAGTCTTATTTTGTTCTTGTTTTTTATAACTTTATATGTGAACCACTGTGAGCCAGACAGAACTATAGAAATATTGTAAATAGGTAAATAAATCTAACAGGAGGCAAATGCAAACAAAAAAACCCTCCCCAGTGATGCTGTATGCTGCGTTGTGAACTTCTGAAATTCTGTACAAAATCCTGCAGTTTATAGTAAGGAACTAAAGTCTCAGAAAAATTTGATGAATATATGAAGTGTATGAATATATGAAGGTTAAAATTACACCTCTAATAACATTAAGAAATTTTGGCTGTACTTGCATTAATGTTGGTATACATTTATTTGTTTTACTCCTTATATCTAGACTAGCTATAGTAAAAGTTGTTATCCTAAAAAAGATTCCATTTTACAAAATATGGTACAATTCTCTTTTAAGATGACCACTAGCATAAGTATAATTAGCATTGTGATTGATCTCTTGGAAATGCTGAGAACATAATATACTGCTATAATGAGAGTTGGCTTTGCATTGCTGTGGTTAGTTTGGAAGTCACATGAAGTCTTCTTCAAGTTGAGCTCAACTTCTTATGAATTCACAGATATATGAAGTCTTTGTTACAGCTTGTTTTTTTCTTTGCTTCCGTTCCTCACTTCTCTCCATTTTGTTGTTATTCTCTTTAGAATATTTAGAATGTACCAGAAGTCGCACTTTTAGATTCTCCATTCTAAATTACATGTTTTGCATCCATTTGGTTTGTTTCTAGCAGCAGCAACTTGGGTTGGAGTAAAAAATCAAGATGGCAGCCAAACGGTACAAAAAGTCCCATCCTTCTTTTATGTGTTACTGCCACATTGATTATTTTTACCATGGTTCCCAGAATTGCATGCCTAGGCATCTGTTCCTCCCATCATCCTGTCATTACCTGTACCTGCACAAAAATCCTGGCATGTATTGAAGCTGATACTCAGTCTTAAATTTGTAATCAAAAGCTGGAGCCCAAACATAGCATGTAGCTGCTGTGTGCTCCCAAATAACCATGAGATACTGCCTTGAAAATAAAACTGCTTTGTGTCTGTTTCCTTATCTTTCTTCTTGCTCTAAATTTAAAGCTTCTGTTACTCATGGTTTATTATCACTGCCAGCACTTGGGTCCTCATGGAGCTCCTCCAAAATTTCTATGTTATTTATTTAATAGTTCCATAGTTTTTCTTTTGCAAATGTTAATTTGCCTGCTTTTATTTTTTTTTCTGACATTGTCAGTATTATCCAATTCACAAGCTCATATTCTAGGATTAAAGAATATGTTCAACCCTGCTTTGTTTCTCTAAGATATCTGTTATAAAATCATTACTCTGAGTAATCACAAGTTAATTTTCTCTAGTTAAAATAGTTATATATTCATTTTGAAGAAATGCAGTGTACAATGGACAATATGCCCATGACATGTCACGTGAATAAATGTGAATTGCATATATGTAACATATGCTCATCTTTAGCAATTCTCAATGCTAGTAATGATGTTAAATAATATTGCTGGTGCTACTTCTGCTGGTGGGGCTACTGCTATGTATGAAAATTATTGATGAAATATTGTACAGATATTCAAAATAACTGTTCTATAAATCTTATGTGGGTTAATTATACCCAGTAGTGTGCTGCTAAATGTTCAAAAACCAACTCTACTAGTTCCATTGCTGGTGCCACACACCACCGCTAGAGGAGGAAGAGCTGACTGGCATGCTGGATGTCAAGGCCCAACTCTGCTCTCAGCAGGTTAGCAAAATGCAGAAAATTAACTATCAGCTCTCATGACCTGATATAAGCTGGTCCAGCACACTACTACTGTAGTTATATTCATCAAATATTAAACAAATCTATTATAGATACCTTCACCACCATAGCATATGTGGCATGGATATTGCAACAGATAAACTCTTTTCCCTGTTACTTTTTCAGTATAATCCAGCTCTTGTTTTTTAGATTCATGAAAAAAGAAACAAGCTTCTTTTTTTGTCAAGGGTGTATTTGGGAGGAGGCTGAATCAAACTACCTTGAATGATCATCACCCCTGGGTATCACAGTCTTAAGTGTTAGATCCAATTAATACAACTAAGTTGTAAGTGAATTATCAAACAGGTTTTCAGTCATTATTGTCTGTAGTCAACTAAATAGCATCTTTGAGGAACCTTCTCCAAATTGTCTTGATATCCTGATTGTGAGATTAAAGAAGCCCTGAGCCAGTGCTTTATTTTGTGAGACCACCACAACTTTGACTTTTTCATTTGGATGTATTGGAAATTGAGTTGTTATGTAAGATGATGCTTGGTTTGTTCCGTCTGATCTGTAGATATTTCATGCATCCAAAGGAACACTTGAAGGCACCATCAGGCATGTGTAAGTTCCCCTTCATTACAGAAGCAGTATTTTCTGCTCTACTGGTAAAACACAAAGATTAGTATAGTCAAAATTCCATTTGTAACTCACTGTTTACACATGATGAACATTCGTTTGATGACAGCATACAAGAATCTGAATGGAAATAATGAAGTTCATGGAAAAGGGCCAAGAAGTTTTTCCAGGGGCAGAAAAAAGGAAGGACTTGATATCTTTTGAAACTTGATGAAAGGAAGTCATGAAAGGATCAGAGATAGTGCTGACATTGTTAAGTATTTCATTGTAACTGGAAATATTTGAAAAACTCAAACCACCAAAACCAACTGAAATATTTGCTAAAAAAGGGAAAAGACAGCTATATTCAGCGAGATCAAGACAATACTTTTGATATCTCTGCCAAGGTCAATCAAAGAATGTTAGACTTAAAAGATAATGCCAAAAACAATCTGTTCAAGGTCTAACAGCAGCAGTCCTTCCATCCATCAATCTCACTTTAGGATGGTGAAATGAAAAAAATCCAAGTGTGACTTCACTGAACTGTCTTACAACATATAGCAAATTGAAACATACCAAAGGTTATTTGAAAGACTAGCAACAGTATGTATTCAATAATTAATATTGTACCCTTGTGACTCAGTCTAGTCCCGGGCATCAGAAACAGATCTTCCATTCAAAGACACACTGTGAAAGTCTTTTAACAGAAAAAGTAAAAGAATTTCTTTACTAGAAGAGAAAGAAAATGCTGTGGTCTTAAAACTTTATATAAGTGGCACCACAGGACATTACAAGAACAAAAGTGTGACTTCCTAGAGCATCTTGATCTTCTGAGTGTGATGTTTTTACCAGGTCATTTTCTTGCCTTTGCCTCCTTCAGAGGAAGTAAGTGGAAAGCTACAATAGCAGAAAAACTACAATCAATGTTTCTAAAATGTGTGTTTGAACAAGCTTGGTGTTAAAAGTACATTTTTGTTTCAGATCAGATAGATGGCCATCATTTCAGTCTCTTCTGTTCAAAAATACACTGATATTAAATGATAATAACATAAAATTAACAAGGAATACCTTAAAGATACTTTTTAAAGGCATCCAAGGAACCTTTGGACTAGAGGTTTAGAAAAATGATAGTTCCCACTGCCAAATTGCTTATGTTGTGAGACCAAAAAGAAAAAAAAAAGATTGAGGGAGCTTTAATGGAAAAAAATGTAAGAATTTGAACTTTATGTCTACATTTCAAATATTTTATTATTATAAATTGTTTTAAAAATAAATAAGGATTACTTGTAGTTTTGCTTTTTGTGAGCAAGCTAAATGTCTTTGCCATTTTAAAATGGGAGCTAGAAGAAAATGTAGCACAAACCTAAAATAGACTTAACACAGATCCCCACCCCCAGTCTGCATCAAATCCTGGCTCCATTAAAACGTATATATGTGCAAGCTTAGCATCATCAGTCCATTCTCTGAAGCTGTTGGCCATCCCCAAAACATTCAGCACTAGCCCATTAAATGCATTGTTTCAGACATTAAAAAGTTATTCACCCATATTAAGGAGTCTTGTTTGCTTAAAGCTAGGTTTTGTTTTGATCATTTCAAAAATCTTTAGGCAACTCTTCTATGTGTAAATATTTAATAAATTCATAAGAGACAGTATAGAATTGTCCCAGCTTGTAATATGCCCTAATAATGTTTATTTTGCTATCATTGTCAAAGAGGGTAACAATATAAAGATCTATTTAGGCAGAATTCTTCCATGTATGTGGGTTTCCTTATTGACATTTTTTCTTATGTGGAAGAATCCTATTTTAATTCTGTACAGACATTCAAAATATTGAAAGTGCTTCATGCTGAATAATGGTAATGTTCAAATATTGTACAGATAATCCTCTAGGGACCATTCAAAGTTACAATGACACTTTAAAAAGTGACTTATGACCATTTTTCACCCTTATGACCGTTGCAACATTCCCATGAACACCTGATTTACATTTGGATGCTTGACAAGTGACTCACATTTATTATGGTTGCAGTGTCCTGGGGACATGTGATCAACTTTTGCATCCTTCTGACAAGCAAAGTCAACAGGCAAGTCATATTCACTTAACAACCATGTTACTAACTTAACAACTGCAATGATTCTCTTAACAACTATGGTAAGGAAGGTTGTAAAATGGGGCAAAACTCACTTAACAAATGTCTCACTTAGTAACAGAAATTTTGGGCTCAATTGTAAAAGTACCATTTTGTCTATGAATGCCATGGATCCTGACTAGAATTTTTTAAGCATACAGATAAAAGATGAATGATTCAGCTTGAAATATCTCTGACTATAGTGATACAGCTTACATGAGGAACTGCTTCAATTTTTTTTAATCTCTGTTCATTGTGCTCTTAAAATACAACATCAGTTTTTAAGGACAAGCCATTCAACTTCTTTTTTTTTTCCCCTTGTTCAATAGAGACAACTCAGAATCCATCTTCTTTAATCACTTAAAATATATCACAACAATCAGATTTCAGTGTTGGTTAACACAGAACAAGTCCACTTGATTCATCCTAGTTTTGTGAACTGTTCAAAAAGATTCCCACATTATAAATTGTTTTTAGCAAACTTTGCATTCTTTTACATGAACTTTAATGTTTCCATAAATTTGTGGTAATAAGATGCCTTTTATTTCTTCAGAATATATACAAAATAGATTAGAATGTTTATACAAAAACAACTGACAGAAAGTACCAACCCTTAGCATTTATAAACGGATATAACATATTTCATTTCATATTTCATCTCTTATCTGAAATACCTAGTATTACATTTGCATTTCAAAAAGTGCATCTTGCTCAGATTAATTCAGGCAATACATCAAAAGAACAAATAAAAAAATTGCTGAACTGAACAAACCTAGAGTTAGAATCCAGTTTTGTAGAGAAGTGGTTGGCTGTTATATGATACACTATATCATTTTCTTACCATACCCATTGGTGCAAATGAGTATGGGCTGAGATAACAGTATAGCAAGATTATCTGTGTGTTATGTATGTGTATACTTTTGAGATCAGGCAATAGAATTTCATTTTTTAATGTGTTCCAGTGTGCCCGCAGTAAAAAATGACAATAAAGGTTGTCTGTCTGTCTGTCTGTCTGTCTGTCTGTCTATCCTTCCAATTAACTGAGTTTGTACAGGCAGGCTTTACAGACAAGCATCTCTGCAAAAAATGGCTAAAATACAGCAGAAAATTAAGTTATTGTTCTTGATAATCAGATTTAGCATCACATCTAGTAATTTGGTGCTGAGACAAAAATACTACCTCCTATTTCAAGCAATCAGTGTCGCAACTTGTTTAGCTCTTAAGCATTGGCAGTACTGGATTTTCTTTGCCAACCAGCTTGCTACACCTGAAAGCAAGTGCCTGGCATGGTCCATCTTATCAATCAAGATGCTCTAATAGAATGAGGCATTGGTAGTGGCACAAGAGCATTCAGTACCTATGACTTGTATCCATGTTTTACTTTAGGATTGGATAAGCCGCATGAGAATATCTTATCCTCTTTCCCCACATTATTGCAAGAGTATAAATAAAGGGAATGTAATTGGAACCTTAGAATGAAGCCTTCGTATCTCTCCTTGCCTTCCTGAGTCTACTGGGTTTTCACTCTCTGAAAATCTTTACTGCTTTTAGAAAGCAGCTTTCTCAGCAGAGGAGAAAGAAGGTTCTGTGATTTGAGCAATCTTTTATTTACTATCTACTTGACCTTTCCAATATGAGACACCCTCTAAATTATTTATAAAGTCAATAATATAATATAATTTTAAAAGAGTAAACAAATACCTCTGGTAAGGTGATAAGCGGCCAAACAAGTAGGTATTAATTGCTCTTAAAAATTACAGCAATGCTGTCTGGTTGTTGAATGAATAAAGGCATTGCTGAGTCGGTATGCCCAAAGCAAAGTTCCTACTCCAATATAGCTGGAGGGTGCCAGACTGCAGAAGAAAGGCTTTAGGAAAAAGATGACACAACATAAAAAAAAAAATCCACTACTCTCCAAGAATCTGTTGAGTAACTTCCAAAGGTGGGTACAACTGGTTAAAACATTCAGAGGAGGATGTCCTTCCTGCTCCAAGATGATTTGTTTTGAGGAAGTGGGAAGAGAAATCTTCTCCTATTTATTCATCAAGGTGGAATCTCTTAGTATTAAATATTTTTCCCCAGATTTCTTGCTACTTGAACAGAGTTGTCTTTTAAGAGATAAACTACCACCAGACTCTCTTATTACCTATTAGTTGTTTATGTTTAGCATTTAATTCAGTAGTCTCCCAAGCACCTAACAATTTCAGATTGCTATCTTATACAGCTGCAGGGCAATGTGATCTTGGCAAAAAATATGTTTGCTTTAAGTTGCCCATAGGCCTTAAAGGAGCACTCCTGCATTATCAAAACACTTTTCCTCCTTCAAGTATGAAGTACCACATAGTCCTAATATATTAGAAATATTAATATCCTGCAAATCCAGTGAGTTTACCACATTTTTATGCTGGTAAATGCCTGGCAAAACTTTATTGGCAAGACTTCAGAAATGGCTTGCCATTGACTGCTTTCCAGGACTGACGAAGAACTGGCCCAAGGCTACTCAGCTGGCTTTGTGTCTCCCTGTTTCTATCCTGATGCCTTATCACTACACTAAACTGGCTTAAGTTTACATAAGCAGAAGTCAACTGTACCCATTATTTTTATTCATGTTGTAATTATATCAGTTTGAAATACATAATGGGTCTGTTCTGACCTCATTGGGAGATTGATTCAATGAAGAGCGTTGTGTATTGTATTCCCAATACACAATAGATAATTAACCAATAGAAATTGCATGGAATAATTCATAATTTATTAGTTTGTTCCCTGAATGCACCCTGAAAGTTAGGTTAGACTTGGTTTAACTAATCTAGATTTACTTCAATACAATCATACAAAAGCATAATTGTATCTATATAGGTTTGACATGACTTTCCCTGGATTAAGGGAAATGCAGAGAAATTATATGCCCCAATTTGGGGTGATCTGATGGCTGTCATTGTCATGAAACGGCCTGGTGGTTGTCAGTTTAATATTTGTGGAAGAGGTAAGGAGTCTTGATTTTTCTAAAATGTTGATACTATCCACATTTTTTACTACACTTCCCATTGCACCGCCTTTCTAGAAATAGGATTCCTATTCTTTCCTACCCAAACTCTCATCATATGACTCCACAGCTGCTGCTTCGAAAGGAGCAATATTAAGTCATTAGAAAGCACAGCTGGGCATTACACTGGGGCCATTTATATGAAAAGAGGATCTTGCTTTAATCAATCTCCTGCTGTTGTACCTGCCAGATCTGAAGTAAAGTGCCAGTGGGTGGATGGGTCACTGGGAAATTTATGCTTTCAGGTGCAGAATAAGAAGCCTCTTATTTCATTATTACCCTACCAGAGCTGTGAGGAATCACTCCTGTTATATTAAAAAGTCATTTCTTACAGAAAAGAAACATTGGCAATGAATGGGATTTGAAAACTGTACACAATTACCTTTTGTAATCTGTGTTCCAGCAGAGCGATTGGTTCAATGGCATGAATTGAGACCACCTCTGTTTCTAGAGTTAATGTTAAGGAAAAAAATGGGAAAGAAGTAGCGTAAAAAAAAACAAAAACCCTACTGCCCTGACAAGTTTGGTGGAAACAAGGCCCTTTGTTCTCACAAATTTCCCCTTATTCCATTGGGGGGGGGAGCATTGTCCCATTAGCAATTTCTGCAACATGTCATTTGACTTTTAAATGCTTTATAAGTTAAATATTTGTCTTTAAAACAGAATAAAGGAAGGTCTAAAGCTTCTTGCATTTTATGAACATATTGACAGTAAGCAGAAAAAATGTTGGTGCTAAGCTGAGGTAATGGAGAACTTTAAAGTTGACTAAAGGTGGCATGTTTAGTTTCCAGATGTGACATTTCTAACACATCATATCCTTGAACAATCAAATTTGCAGTTTCTGAGTATAGGAAAAGCTATGATTTTCAAGAAAGATAGTATATTTAGCAAACTTCTAGGAATTGAAATCTAAATCAACTTATAGGAATCTAGGAATTGAAACAAACCATAAGTAAATTTAGTTACACAAATAGAATCTTTCCTTCTGGAATGGTTATTATAATTTCTTCTTTTCTTATGTCAGAGACACATCACATATTTTATTAATGTGTACAAAGCTTTTTTCTGTTTTTTTTTCCTAATAATTTAAATGGGTTACCTTGGAAGAGCTCATTGACATCTGAACTGAGATGACTTTTCAACTAAGAAAGTTGCAAAAAAAAGTTACAAAAAAATTATTTTTTTCATGTTACTCTAATGTAAAGATAAAATGCTGTTATCTTTGCTTTATATTCTTGAATGTTATCATAATATGACTTATATTTCAAAACAATGATATTTTTAAAGAATTCTGGATTGTATTGTTCTGCATTTTGGAGACCTATAGTATCTATCTACAGCTTGCTTTAGAAAATAATTATTTTCCATGACTGCTAATTTGGTTGGAAAATATTTAATTAACTTTTGTTTGAAAACATCTGCATTGCAAGAAAACTTATGAAAGGAAGGAAAGCACTTCCTTGAAATTGAATGAACTGGAACATATGATAATGCACATGCTTAGAAATAACCCATGGGGGGGGGGGAAGAATCCATTTTATAAACGCAACCTTGTTATTGTTGTAGTAGAATTTAAAGTGAAATAAAAGTGCTAGGCATCAACTTGTATAAATTCCAAAGCCTGTGACTGAAAAAGTAAACTGATACATACTGCCTATCTATAGGAAATGTAATCTCTTCCTTTTCAAAATAACAGCCTTCATTAGTTGCATTCATAAGAGAGCAGCTTTCTTCTGAATGGGGAGGAAGAATGTCCCACCTGCTTAAGACTGCAA